GGTGTGTGAGCACCCTGAGATGAGGATGAGCACCCCAAGAGCTGAAAAAACACCCCAAGAATGATGGGCAAGGAGCCCAGGAGCAGGATGAGCACCCCAGGAGCAGGATGAACACCCCAAAAGCTGAGCAAGCACCTCAGGAAGGGTGGCCAAGCACCCCAAAAGTGGGATGACCACCATGGGGAGGGTGGGTGAGCACCCTGGGATCAGGATGAGCACCCCAGGAGCTGGAAAAGTCCCCTGGGAAAGGTAGTCAAGGAGCCCAAAAGCAGGATGAGCACCCCAGGAAAGGTTGGGCGAATGGAGGAGCACCCCAAAAGCTGGGCAAGCACCCCAGGAAGGGTGGCCAGGCACCCAAAAATGGGATGACCACCTTAGGGAGGGTGTGTGAGCGCCCTGGGATCAGAATGAGCACCCCAGGAAAGGTTGGGCAAGTGGATGAACACCCCAAAATCTGGGCAAGCACCCCTAGAAGGGTGGCCAGGCACCCCAAAAGTGGGATGACCACCTCGAGGAGAGGATCTGGCTCACCCCGTGCTGCCCCTACAAACCCGTCCCTCTCCTCTCACAGCACTCCAGACTTGCATTAACTTTGTTTTTAGGATTTTAAGTGTTTCCTGTGTCTGATGACCTCCACAGGGACACACTGGGTGACTCCAGCATCCAGGCTCTGCTCACCAAGCCCCCAAATCCCCTTTCCCTTCACTTTTGGGGATCCCCTGCATCCAGGGCCGGGCTCATTCCCCCCAGGAATGATGGAAGAATGACGGAGTCTCCTTCACCCCTCATCTCTGTGTCGCTTTCCTCCCCCATCAGGATCATCCCAGGATGTTTTCCTCCTTCTCCCTTATTGCAAAACCCACATCCAGCAATTCTTTCCTCCTCGGAGCAGATAAATAAACCCTGGAAAAGCGGCTGAGGCCGTGTCCCTGCTCTGCCCTCAGGTCACAAAACTCATCGCAGGGACGGGAATTTGGGGAGCAACCGCTGGATTCCACTCCGGCCTGGAGCCCGTCTCCCAAGAAAACAAACAAACTCTTGGAATCCTTTTTGTTTTCATCCCGCGCTGGGGCTGGGGAGGATGTTTGGAGTCCCTGGATGATGTCAGTCCATGATGTCAGGGTCCAGCCGCGGCTCTCCAGGCTCACATCTCCCCTTTCTCACGGAGCGCTCCGGGGAGCCCGGCCCGGCCCAGGAGCCGTTCCCACGGCAGAGCATTCCCCCGAAATCCAGCTGCAGGCTGGGCTCCCCCGGGACCCTGGGGACATGGCCACCAGCGCTGCGAGATGGGGCCCTACCTGGAACAGGAGCATCAGGGTGGAAATGTCCCAGTCCCTGGGGAGATGTCACCTGGCATCAGGGTGGGAATGTCCTCATCCCTGGGGAGATGTCACCTGGCACAAATGTCCCCATCCCAGGAACCTTGTGGGGATGTCACCAGGCAGGGCCTGTGGATCAGAATGGGAATGTCCTCATCCCTGGGGAGATGTCACCAGGCAGGGCCTGTGGATCAGAATGGGAATGTCCTCATCCCTGGGGAGATGTCACCTGGCATCAGAATGGGAATGTCCTCATCCCTGGAGAGATGTCACCTGGCATCAGGGTGGGAATGTCCCAGTCCCAGGAGTCCCAGGAGATGTCACCAGGCAGGGCCTGAGCATCAGGGTGGGCATGTCCCCATCCCTGGGGAGATGTCACCTGGCATCAGGATCGGAATGTCCCCATCCCAGGAGCCCTGAGAGGCCTGAGGATCAGCATGGGAATGTCCTCATCCCTGGGGAGATGTCACCTGGCATCAGGGTGGGCATGTCCCCATCCCTGGGGAGATGTCACCTGGCAGGGTCTGAGCATCAGGATGGGAATGTCCTCATCCCAGGATCCTTGGGGAATGTCATCTGGCACAAATGTCCCCATCCCATGAACCCTGGGGAGATGTCACCTGGCATCAGGATGGGGAATGTCCCCATCTCAGGAGCCCTGGGCAGATGTCAGGCCTGAGGATCAGGATGGGAATGTCCCCATCCCTGGGGAGATGTCACCTGGTATCAGGGTGGGCATGTCCCAATCCCTGGGGAGATGTCACCAGACAGGGTCTAAATATCAGGATGGGAATGTCCTCATCCTGGGAAACCTGGGGAAATGCCACCTGGCATCAGGATGGGAATGTCCCCATCTCAGGAACGCTGGGGGATGCCACCTGGAACAAATGTCCCCATCCCAGGAGCCCTGGATGAATGTCACCTCGCGGGGCCCTGAGGATCAGGATGGGAATGTCCTCATTCCAGGAGCCCTGGGGGGATGTCAGGCCTGAGGATCGGGATGGGAATGTCCCAGTACCAGGAACCTTGTGGGGATGTCACCTGGCACAAATGCCCCCATCCCAGGAGCCCTGGATGAATGCCACCTTGCAGGGGCCTGAGGATCAGCATGGGAATGTCCCCATCCCAGGAGCCCTGGGACAAATTTCCCCACCTGGCACCAATGTCCCCCTCCCAGCAGCCCTGGGGAGATGTCACCTGGCACAGGCACACGGATTCCAGCGCTCCTACCTCACCCTGCCCACCCTGCAGGGCTTCCTTGGCACCCTGGAATGCCAGCTGGGCGATGCCAAGGCCTGGCACCGGCACAGCCGTGAGGGTGGGGGCACCGGGAGCTGCCAGGAGCATTCCTGGATCCATCCTCAGCTCTTCCATGCCCAGAACCTGCACACAAGGAGCAGCCCGGGCTGTTCCCAGCACCTTTTCCCCCATGGACCCAAGGGAGGTCCCTGTGCAGTGAGACTGGCGCTGGATTGTCCCCTGTGGCCACTGTCACACAACCCTGGGGGCTGCAGGGTGGCAGCTCCTCCTCCCAGGGATGGGATCCCCAACTCCCAGCATCTCCTGGGGGGTTTTACTCTGATTTCCCCCCCCCCTGAGGTCCCCGCTGTGCCACAAACCTCCAGAAATCAGAATTATTGCACAAGGAGCTGGTCCTGCCAACTTTGTGTCACCTCCTCCCTCTGCCCCAGCCTTGGGGGGTTCTGGGGGTCAGGGAGGGTTTGGGAGGGGACACCTGGAGCTGAGGAGGTCCTGGATGGGTGCCCCAGGTCCTGGCAGGCTGCAGGAGCAGCTTCCCTGGTTCCAGAGGGGGAAATGGGGCTGGAGCCAGGGTGGGAAATGTGGGGGCTGGTGATCCTCACTGGGGGCTGGTGGGCTCCCATTCCTGGGCATTGGATGGGCTGCTCTGTTCCTTCTCTCAGCCCCAGTTCAGTGTCCTGATCCCAATAACTCCTGGTCCTAATAATGCCAGAATCCCGTCCCAATAAAGCCTGATCCTAATAAAACCATGGTCATTATAACTCCTGATCCTTACAGAACCAGCATCTCAGTCCTAATAGTGTCTGATCCCAATAACACCAATATCCCAGTCCCAACAATCCCTGATCCCAGTAACACCAATCCTGACAATCCTGATCCCAATAACTCCTGGTCCTAATAATGCCAGAATCCCGTCCTAATAAAGCCTTATCCTAATGAAATCGTGGTCTTTATAACTCCTGATCCTTATAGAACCAGCATCTCAGTCCTGATAGTGTCTGATCCCAATAACACTTGTTCCCAATGACACCAATATCCCAGCCCCAACAATCCCTGATCCTAATAATACCAATCCTGATCCCAATAACTCCTGGTCCTAATAATGCCTGATCCCATCCTAATAAAGCCTGATGCTAATAAAATCGTGGTCATTATAACTCCTGATCCTTATAGAACCAGCTTCTCAGTCTCAATAGTGTCTGATCCCAATAACACCAATATCCCAGCCCCAACAACCCCTAATCCTAATAATTCCTGATCCTAACAGTGCCAACATTCCTGTCCTAATAACACCTGAGCCTAATAATGCCTGATCCCAACACCAGCTCCCTCATCCCAAAAACCCCAATAATTCCCAATTCTTACAATGCCTGACCCTAATAACATCAACATCTTGATCCCAATAATTCCTGATCCTAACAGTACCAACATTCCTGTCCTAATAATAGGAATGTTATTAGGAGCTTAATAATGCCTGATCCCAACAGCAGTTCCCTCATCCTAAAAACCCCAATAACTCCCAATACTTATAATGCCTGATCCTAATAACTCCTGATCCTAATAATGCCGGAGTCCCATCCTGATAAAGCCTGATCCTAATAAAATCGTGGTGATTATAACTCCTGATCCTTATAGAACCACCTAATAATATCTGATCCCAACAACACCAATATCCCAGTCCCAATAACTCCTGATCCTAATAATACCAACATCCTGATCCCAATAATTTCTGATCCTAACAGTACCAGCATTCCTGGTAACAGGAATGTTACACCTGAGCTGAATAATGATCCCAGCACCAGCTCCCTCATCCTAAAAACCCCAATAATTCCCAATTCTTACAATGCCCGATCCTGATATCTCCCGATCCCAGCAGCCTGTCCTAAATCACCCGGCGCTAACGATGGCTGTCCTCGGGCAGCGTCTGGTGGCCGCGCTGCTTTGGGCACAGGCTGGCACCAGGAATAGCTCCAGACCTGATTCTGGTTCCTGTCCCTCTCCTTTATCCCAGCCTGGCACAGCACAAACCCATTTATCCGCCGGGCCAGCTCAGGTCAGGCACCCATTGAGCCCCCAGGTTGTGTCAGTGACAGAAATTCCCCCAAAATCCAAGCCCGGAGCCCCTCAAGGCGTTTTTAGTGCGGGGCGGGGAGGGCGGGAGCTGGCGGGGAGCGAAGAACTGGAACGCAGAATTGTGTTTTCCTTTAAATGTCATGGGGTTTTTTTTTAAGCTCATTTTTGCACTTGGGTTTGGCGAAGCTGAGAAGACTTAAGTGACAAACCAGCTGTCCCCAGCACAGCGCAGACACCCCCGGACCCCAAAATTGGGGTGGGCACGGCGGGGGCGGCCCCGATGCTCCCAGCGGGGCTGTGGGGGCGCTGCAGGGTGGGCGGGGGTCCCGCAGCCCCCCACCCACCCTGCTAAGCCCAGTAGACGGGCAGGAGGCTGCACAGGATGCCCGCCGTGGTGCCCAGCATGGAGCGGTCAGCCAAAGGCACAGAGATCTTGTCTTCAGCCTGCGCATGGGGAGCAAGGAACATCCTTCATCATCATCATCTTCATCATCATCTGCATCACTCCTCCGCTCAGGGAGGGGCTGCACAAGGCGCTGAGCCCCCCAGCTCCCCCAGACCCAGCCAGGTGCTCACCTGCCGGCGCTGGAAGGTCTCAACCACGCTGTCCAGCCCCGGGATGTTGTCCTGGTCCACTCGGGTCACGTAGCAGGCGCCGTGCAGCCGGGCTCTGTAGCTCACCAGCAGCTGTTGGGAGCCAAACCCGTCTCAGCCCCATCCCATCTCCCCCTCCTGGTGTCCCCAGAGCCCCCCACTCACATTCCTGTAGTCATAGATGACCGTGGCCGCGTTGCCGTCGCCGCTGTCCAGGTAGAAAGTGGCCGCGTTCTCGTCGTCTCCCCACAAACTGGCCCGCAGCACCTGGAGGGCACCGAGGGGAGCTCAGCGCCTGCAGCAGCCCCTTCCCCTGGCATGGGGGGTTGTCACAGGCATCTTTTCATAAAAATCCTTTCTTTAGGATTTTTCTCCCTTCTGAGCAGCAACAAGATGTAAACAGTGGTTATCTGCTGCTGTGGAATGCAACAGGTGGATCCGTGATTGGTCTTCTGTAGATGTTTGGATTTACTGACCACTCTGGACCACACTGGTCCAAACCCTCATCCTGGGCACTGGGAATGCAGCATCCCATGGTCCAACCCCTCATCCTGGGCACTGGGAATGCAGCATCCCATGGTCCAAACCCCTCATCCCGGGCACTGGGAATGCAGCATCCCACATTCAACCCTTCATCCTGGGCACTGGGAATGCAGCATCCAACATCCAACCCCTCATCCTGGGCACTGGGAATGCAGCATTCCACATTCAACCCTTCATACTGGGCACTGGGAATGCAGCATCCCATGGTCCAAACTCCCATCCTGGGCACTGGGAATGTAGCATCCCACATCCAACCCTTCATCCTGGGCATTGGGAATGCAGCATCCCATGGTCCAACCCCTCATCCTGGGCACTGGGAATGCAGCATCCCATGGTCCAACCCCTCATCCTGGGCACCAGGAATGCAGCACCCACGTCCCTCGCTTTCTGCCGGGACACAGACCTTTGTTATTGATTCCTTTTCTATTCTTTTCTTAGCCAGCTTCTGAGAACTTTTCTATTTCTTTTTAGTATAGTTATAATGTAGTATATATCTATCCTAAACTAATAAATCAAGCCTTCTGAACATGGAACCAACATTCTCGTCTCTCTCTTCACCCTGCAACCCTGTGACAGGGGGTGGCACCGGGGGTGGCACTGGCGGTGGCACTCACGCTGTCGCTGCGGCGCTGCTCCACGCTCAGCCACATCAGCAGCGCGCCGGCCACGATGACCACGAGCAGGACCAGCACCAGCGCCGCGATGAGCAGGCAGCGCAGGCGGCCGCAGCTCAGCAGCTTGCGGGGCAGGTAGCACAGCAGCCGGGGCACGAAGCACAGCGACTTCCTGAGGCAGCCGGAGCAGCTGGCGCAGCCGGGACACTTGGGGCACTTGGGGCACTTGGGGCACTCGCAGCACTTGGGCAGGCAGCAGCACTTGGCGCAGCACCAGCCGCATCGGGCGCAGCATTTGGTGCAGCACCAGCTGCATTTGGTGCAGCATTTGGCGCAGCACGAGGCGCAGGGCAGGCAGCAGCCCGGGCAGCAGCAGCCGTTCCCCGAGTCCTGGGGATGAGGGAAAATGGGGGGATTTGGGGTCAGGGGTGTGGAGATGGGAGCTGGAGGATGCAGGAGGTTGGGGGTGGGACTGCAGCTCTGATCCTGCTGCCCCCCAGCATCCTGCTGCCCCCCTGGGCACTGGGAATGCAGCATCCCATGGTCCAAACTCCCATCCTGGGCACTGGGAATGCAGAACCCCATGGTTCAGACCCTCATCCTGGGCACTGGGAATGCAGCATCCCATGGTCCAAACTCCCATCCTGGGCACTGGGAATGCAGAACCCCATGGTTCAGACCCTCATCCTGGGCACTGGGAATGCAGAACCCCATGGTTCAGATCCTCATTCTGGGCACTGGGAATGCAGCATCCCATGGTCCAAACTCCCATCCTGGGCACTGGGAATGCAGCATTCCACATCCAACCCCTCATCCTGGGCACTGGGAATGCAGCATCCCATGGTTCAGGTCCTCATCCTGGGCACTGGGAATGCAGCATCCCATGGTTCAGATCCTCATTCTGGGCACTGGGAATGCAGCATCCCATGGTCCAAACTCCCATCCTGGGCACTGGGAATGCAGCATCCCACATCCAACCCTCATCCTGGGCACTGGGAATGCAGCATCCCACATCCAACCCCTCATCCTGGGCACTAGGAATGCAGCATCCCACATCCAACCCTCATCCTGGGCACTGGGAATGCAGCATCCCATGGTACAACCCCTTGTCCTGGGCACTGGTGCCTTGCTGGGATAAACTGGGCAAAGCCCTGTGCCCAGCTGGCTGCAGGGACACCCCGGGGTGGCAGTGCCACCCTGCAGGGACTCACCTCCTCTTCAAGCACCACCTGCTTCATGCTGCTCTCCATGGCTGCTGCCTCCTCCTCCTCCTCTTCCTTCTCCTCCTCCTCCCATTCCCAGCCCGGTCTGACTGCAGGGACCGGGATCTTTATACTGGGGCACTGGGGTGGGGACGCTGTGAAGGGTTTGGTGGCCCTGGGGTGCAGCCAGGCCCTGGCATGTGACCCACTCCAGTGGTGTTTGCTGAGCGCCCACTCCCAGCTGGATCCCCTGGGAACCTGCAGCTCAAGGGGCTCCGAGGGCACTGGGTCAAGGACCCTTGTCCCCAGGCACGGGGACCTCTCTGCTGCCCAGCAGCGAGGTGCCAGGGCCAAAACAAACCCTCCAGGGTGGAGCATCCGGCTGTGCCCGTGCCCAGGGTGGCAGCTGGCTCGCGTCCCTGTGCCAGCTCGGGCACCTGCAGCTGCTTGATGTGGCAAGGAGCAAACAGGACGTGAAATATTTCCTGTAATCCACAGGGATGGGGTGGGAACGGGGTGACCGTGGTGTGGGAAGTGTCCCTGACCCTCATTCCTGCTCCTGAGGCTGCTCAGGCACTGCTGGTGGCTTTTGGGGCTGGCAGAGGTGCCCACAGGGGGGATTTGAGTGTCCCTGACCCTCATTCCTGCTCCTGAGCCTGCTCAGGCACTGCTGGTGGCTTTGGGGGCTGGCAGAAGTGCCCAAAGTGCAGATTTGAGTGTCCCTGACCAGAGTGGATTTATTTGAGTGTCCCTGACCCTCACTCCAGCTCCTGAGGCTGCTCAGACACTGCTGGTGGCATTTGGGGCTGGCAGAGGTGCCCACAGTGGGGATTTTTTGGGGGTTAGGGGGTCCCAGCTCCGGTGTGTCCCCCTCAGGTGGCATGGGGACACTGCTGGGCTTTGGTTTTGCACCTCCTGGAACTGGGACCCCTCCAGGCACCCCTGAGACCCCCAACACCCCCAATACTGAATGCTGCCTCTTTTCCCAGGTTGTCAAGGGCCACGAGAGTCCCTTGAGTGGCTCCTGGCTGTTTGTTCTGTCCCCATGGGAGCCCTTATCAGCTTTCCTGGCCCATGGCACCCCCTTGACCCAGCTCCTTATCAGGGTCAGGGTTTTTTGGGAAGCAGAGCTGCTGGCTCTGGGTCAGCACATGGAAATCTGCAGTGTCCCTCCTGTTCCCAGCAAAGTGTCACCTCCCAGGGCTGTGACCCTGCTCTCTGCCCATGGCAGTGATTTTGGGGACAACAGTGAGTTTGCGGCTCTGGAAAGATCAAATCAACTTCCAGGGGTCTCTTTTTCCCCCTCCCAGCCTCGCTACTCCTCTGGGTTTCAGTGCAGCACTTGGGAGTGGCCCCAAAGCTGGTGAAGGGGCAAGAGGGGCTGGAATGGTTGGGAAAACGGAGAGGATGAGGAGGAGCTGCAGCTGGAGCAAGTGTGTCGTGGTGTCTGTGGGTGACACTTGGTTCCCACTGGGGATGTGGCACTGTCCCTCTGTCCCCAGCTGCACCAGGAGGGGACAGGGTTGGGAGATTTTCCTGAAGGGCTGAAAGTGCAGGGGCTGCTCCTTTGTTCTCACCCTCCATGCTCCAAACTGGGGGGGCACAGCTGGGGACACTGGGGGGACACAGGTGGGGACATTGGGAGGGCACAGGTGGGGACACTGGGGGGACAATGGGGGGACACAGGTGGGGACAATGGGAGGGCCCAGATGGGGACAATGGGAGGGCAGAGGTGGGGACCCTGAGGGGGCATAGGTGGGGCAATGAGAGGACACAGGTGGGGACAATGGGAGGGCACAGGTGGGGACACTGGGGGAACACAACTGGGGACAATGAGAGGACCCAGGTGGGGACAATGGGAGGGCACAGGTGGGGACACTGGGGGAACACAACTGGGGACAATGAGAGGACCCAGGTGGGGACAATGGGAGGGCACAGGTGGGGACACTGGGGGAACACAACTGGGGACAATGAGAAGGCACAGCTGGGGACAATGGGAGGGCACAACTGGGGACAATGAGAGGGCACAGCTGGAGACAATGGGACCATCGTGTGCCCTTTTGCTGCTGACCCCCATGTTTGATCCCTCCCAACATGAGGGATTCCCCTCCCCACCCTGCACCCCACGAGGGGACACCCCTGGGACCCCGTGTCCCTGTCCCCAGCACCCAGGAAGGGCGAGAGCACACTCGGAGGCGGTGACACAGCCTTTACTTTGTAGACAGAAGCAAACCCCGAAGCAAATCCCGCTTTTTTTATGGCGGGAGCACGCAGTGCCAAGCGACAATGGGCGGGGTGGCTGTCCCCAGGGTGGGGACGAGGAGGAGAGATTCCAGCCTGGAAGGGGACAGTGGGGGGACAGTGCCACCCCCATGTCGCTGTCCCATCCCGCTATGCCCAGAACACGGGGACGGCGCTGCAGAGGATGTTGATGGTGGTGCCCAGGATGGAGCGGTCAGCCAGGGGCACGGCCTTGTCCCCAGCCTTGTCCTCGTCCTGCAGGACACAGAGCGGAGCAGAGCACCCACAAAAAGACAAACAAACCCCCAGCCCCGCATTGCCCAGCCTGGTGCAGCTCCACCCCTGTGATTGTGAGACAGAGGAGAAATTCTCCAGAGTAGAAATTCTCCAGAGTAGAAATCCATTTTGATTTAGGTGAAATGCACATCTTTGAGTCTGTGGTTAGACAACAGAGCTAAGTAGCCTGACTGCAGAACCTAGGCTCAGAAAAACTGCTCCAGTGAAAGACAGAGATAAGGGGGAGGAGACAAAAAGTGATAAAGAGAGACAGAGACTGTTGTGACAGCAGGGCAGCCTGACCTAGGAATTCTTTCTGATAAAGAAGAACTAGCGGCAAATATCATGCGAAATTCGTAAAAATGGATATGTATGAACCTAGTGTGAAATTGTGCGCAGATGTATTTGAGAGGGGGATGAAAAGGGACCTGAAGTTCCCACGTCTTTTAAGGAGAGTAATCTCCACATGCTGTAATAAACATACCAGCTTTACAACTTTCACAAAGTTGTACAGTTTAGTTATCTCCATAAACAGTTGTCACTGCTCACCTGCCGGCGCTGGAAGGTCTCGGTGACAGCGTCCAGCCCCGGGAAGTTGTCCTTGTCCACGCGGGTGATGTAGCAGGCGCGGTGACACCAGGACCTGTAGCCGACCAGCAGCTGTGGGCAGACAGAGCCTGCTCAGCCCGCACGGTGCTGTGGTGCCATGCATGTCCCCATGTCCCCGTGTCCCCGTGACCCCACGCACCCATGTCCCCATGTCTCTATGTCCCAATGTCCCCATGTCCCTATGTCCCCATGTCCCCGTGTTCCCATGTCCCTGTGTCCCTATGTCCCCATGTCCCCGTATTCCCATGTCCCTGTGTCCCTATGTCCCTGTGTGCCCATGTCCCCGTGTCCCCACACACCCATGTCCCCATGTCCCCATGTCTCCACATCCCTGTGTCTCCACGTCCCTGTGTCCCCATGTCCCCGTGTCCCCATGTCCCTGTGTACCCATGTCCCCATGTCTCTATGTCCCTATGTCCCCATGTCCCCGTGTTCCCATGTCCCCATGTCCCTGTGTCCCCAAGTCCCTGTGTTCCTGTGTACTTGTGTCCCCATGTCCCCATGCCCCCACGTCCCCATGCCCCCGTTTCCCCATGTCCCCACATCCCCATGTCCCTATGTCCCAGTGTACCCATGTCCCTGTGTCCCCATGTACCCATGTACCCATGTCCCCATGTCCCCGTGTCCCCATGTCCCCGTGTCCCCATGTCTCCACATCCCCATGTCCCCGTGTTCCCGTGTCCCTGTATCCCCATGTCCCCAAGTCCCCCTGTCCCCATGTCCCTATGTCGCAATGTCCCCGTGTCCCCGTGTCCCCACGCACCCATGTCCCCATGTCCCTATGTCCCCATGCCCCCGTGTCCCCATGTCCCCATGTCCCTATATCCCCATGTCCCCGTGTCCCCACGCACCCATGTCCCCACGCACCCATGTCCCCATGTCCCTATGTCCCCATGTCCCCATGTCCCCATGTCCCGTGTCCCCACGCACCCATGTCCCCATGTCCCCATGTCCCCATGTCCCCACGCACCTTGCTGTAGTCGTACACCACGGCGGCTGAGCCGTTGTGCCCATCCCTCACGGCGAACGTGCCGCTCCTGTCCCCCCTGCTCACGGCGAGCTGCTGGGGGCTCCCCTCGCCATCCAACCCCTGAATGCTCATCCACAGCACCTGCCGGGGGGAGAGGGCTCAGGGGGCTCTGCGGGGGCCGACCCTGTCCCCACAAACCGCGGTGCCATCCCGGAGCTGGTGGCACCGCTCTGTCCTCACCGTCTCGGCGTGGGACTCGCTGAGGTGCAGCCCCAGCAGCAGGAAGGTGATGTTGACCACCACGAGGGCCACCACCACCAGCGCCACCATCAGCAGGAGGCTCTTGAGCTCGTGGGGGATGCAGGGCAGGCGCGGGGACTCCGTGTACCTCTGTTGGGGACAGGGGAGCGCCCGGCTGAGCCAGAGCTGGGATGGCACCGGGGGCTCGCCCAGGATGGGTGGTGGGTGCTCCTTACCGGAGGTGCCTCCTCCATCAGCGCCTCTTTGGAGCTGTCCTCCATCTCTCCGTGTGCTCCTGTCCCTTTGCCAGCCAGGGCTTGGGGACATTTATAGGATCCCGTGTGGCCGGGGACGGTTGGGGACACTCCATGTGCCGAGTGCCACTTGTGCTGTTTGCTGAGCCCGCAAAGAGCCAGGGAGGGGACACAAAACCTCCGAGGGCCCTTCCGCGGCAGCTGTGGGGGTGCCAAGGCAAACAGCTGGCAGTGCCCACCCTCCACACACCCAGCACGTCCCGGGGGGGGCTGCACCCCTGGTTCTGCACGGGCAGCTGTGCCAGCACCCCCCCGGGGCGGGCAAGGAGCTGGCTGCACTCATTGTTCCCGAGGGCACCGTGCCAGGGACGGCGCAGATGGACGCCTGGCATGGGAGAGATGGGTGCCAGGGACGGACGGGTGCCCAGAGCGGCGTGGATGGGTGCCCAGGGCGGCGTGGATGGGTGCCCGGTGCGCTGTGGGCACAGTGGGCATGGTAAGGGGCTGGGGGGGGCAGCGCTGCAGCGCCGAGATGGGGGAGCTGCTGTGGGGGGCGTCACCCCTGGTGTGTCCCCCCAAGTTCTGCGCACCCCAAGAGCAGCCGGTGGCAGGCGGGGAACGCCGGGTTTGGGACACGCGCGCACGGACACGCGTGCCCAGGGATGCTGGAGCTGTCACTCACCGCATCCTTCATCCCTCCCTCCTTCCCTCCCTCCTCCTCTCCCTCCGTCCCTCCCTCCCTCCCTCCCGCAGCAGCTCCCGGGCATGGTGTGCTGCAGAGCCGCGGGTCAGGCGCCCGCAGCCTCCGCCGCTTCTCCTCCACACTGAAATCCCCGGGGGAATTTAAAAAAGAGGGAAAAAAGGGTTTTTTGCACAGCTGCCGGGCATTGGGAGCATCTCCCGGGATCAAGCGGGATCAGGCCAGGGAGTGATGGAGCTGCGGCGTTGGAGGATGCCCAGGGAGCAGCTCCCCGCTCGCCTCCTCCTCCTCTTCCTCCTGGCCGTGGCCTGGCTCTGGCTGCCGGCGGAGGGGCGGAGGCCCCCCCGGCCTCCCCCATGCCCCCCGAGCTGCTCCTGCACCCGGGACACGGCTTTCTGCGTGGACTCCAAGGCCGTGCCCAAAAACCTGCCCCCCGAGGTCATCTCGCTGTGAGTACCGGGGTGGGGACAGCGGTGGGGACAGCGATGGGGACAGCGTCACATCGCAGGAGCGCAGGGCTGGCAGGGGCTGGAGGGGCAGGGACAGCCCTGATGTGCTGCACAGGGGGACAAAGGGGTGGCAGGGCGGGGTCCGGGAGCAGGAGGAGGCTGGGGACAGCCCGGGACACGTCCCTGTGTCCTGCGGTGCTGGCACACGCAGCCATCCATCGGTGCCAAGCAGAGCAGGGCTGCAGCCTGTCCCCAACGCGACCTTGGGCAGCAGAACCCCGGGGGGACACGGCTGTGACTGTGGGGAGCAGAACCCCGGGGGGACACGGCTGTGACCGTGGGGAGCAGAACCCCGAGGGGACACGGCTGTGACCTTGGTGACCACGGCCCCAGGGGGACACGATTGAGGAGGGAGGGTGATGATGATGATGGAGGGTCCCTGGGGACAGGGCTGTGCCCCGGAGCCTGGCATGGGGAAGTGTGGCAGGTGGGGGTGTTTACAGCTGGGTAAGTGTGTTTACACAGCTGTTTGTGTGTGTTACATCTGTGTGTGTGTTACACCAGTGTGTGTGCTTGCACACCTGTTTGTGTGTGTTACACCTGTCTGTATGTGCTTACACACCTGTTTGTGTGTGTTACATCTGTGTGTGTTACACCAGTGTCTGTGTGCTTTCACACCTGCTTGTGTGTGTTACACCAGTCTGTGTGTGCTTGCATACCTATTTGTGTGTGCTTACACACTTGCTGGTGTGTGTTACACCCGTGTGTATGTTACACCTGTGTGTGTGTGCTTGCACATCTGTTTGTGTGTGCTTACACACCTGTCTGTGTGTGTTACACCAGTCTGTGTGTGCTTACACACCCATTTCTGTGCATTCACACACATGTGCAAGCACGTGGCCCCGGGCCAGGGGCTGCCGCAGGGCGTGGGCATCCTGGGGTTGGTGCCCTCCGTGTCCCCACACAGGGCAGGGCGGCTGCTGGGGTCCCTGTGCCAATGCCAGCGCCCCTCACGGGCTGCCCTGGCAGGCAGCAGGTGACACCCAGCCCGTGCTGGTGGGCACGAGGGTGGCAGTGCCAGGCTGCTGCCGTCCCCTCTCCTGCAGCTCCATCTCTCCCGCAGGACCATGGTGAACGCGGCTTTCACGGAGATCCGGGAGGCGGCCTTTGCCCACATCCCCTCCCTGCAGTTCCTGTAGGTGCCCCCTTGTCCCTGGTGCCCCCCTGGTGCCCACCTGGCGCTCGCCATGCCCAGCCTGGCACTGATGCCTCCCCCTTCTCTTTGCAGCCTCCTCAACTCCAACAAGTTCACTCTGATCGGGGACAACGCCTTCGCCGGGCTCTCGCACCTGCAGTACCTGTGTGTGACACCGGGACAGGGACACGGGGAGGGGACAGGGAGGGGACATGGGGGACTCTCGGGATGGCCCCGTCAATGTCTGCTCCCATTCCAGGTTCATCGAGAACAACGACATCCAGGCGCTCTCAAAGGCCACTTTCCGCGGGCTGAAGTCCCTGACACACCTGTGAGCACCTGGGGGACACTGTGGGGGTGGCCCTGTCCCTTTGTCACTGTCAGGCATGTGTCACCTCCACAACCCTTCTTGTCCCCAGCTCCTTGGCCAACAACAACCTGCAGACGCTGCCACGGGACCTCTTCAAGCCGCTGGACATCCTGAGTGACCTGTGAGGCTGCCACGGCACAGGGGACACCGGGCTGGGACAGGGTGACATCCCCGGGGCTGGCACTTGGGCAGGGTGTGGTGTGCTGGGGGTGACTCGGTGCCATCCCTGGCAGGGATCTCCAGGACACTGAGATGGGAGAGGGTGACATCCTGGGGGGGACTCGGTGCCATCCCTGGCACAAAGCCCTGGGACACTGAGCTGGGGACAGGTGACACACCAGTGGGTGGCTGGGGGTGATGGTGCCATCCTTGCTAGGGACCTCTGGGACACTGAGCTGGGGAGAGGTGACATCCTGGTGGGTAGTGGGGGTGACTCGGTGCCATCACTGACAGGGAGCCCGGGGACACTGAGCTGGGGCAAGGTGACATCCTGGGTGTGTTTGGGTGTGACTCGGTGCCACCTCTGGCAGGGACCCTCAGCACAATGATCTGGGGCGAGGTGACATCCCAGTGGGTGCTGGTGCCATCCATCCTTGGCAGGGACCCCTGGGACACTGAGCTGGGGAGAGGGTGACATCCTGGTGGGTGCTGGTGCCATCCTTGGCAGGGAACCCCAGCACACTGAGTGAGGAGAGGGTGACACATTAGTGAGTTCTGGGGGTGACTCGGTGCCATCCCTAGCAAGGAACCCCGGGACACTGGGCTGAGGAGAGGTGACATCCCGGTGGGTACTGGGGGTGGTGACTCGGTGCCATCCCTGTCAGGGACCTCCGTGGCAACTCGCTGGCCTGTGACTGCAAGATCAAGTGGCTGGTGGAGTGGCTGGAGAGCACCAACACCACGGTCCCCGCCGTGTTCTGCAGCAGCCCCGGGCAGTTCGAGGGACAGCGGATCCGGGACCTGGCGCTCGGTGACTTCCAGTGCATCACCACGGGTAGGGCACCATGGCAGTGATGGTGCTCACAGGGGTCTGAGGGTGAGGGGAGAGACGAGGATCTGACTCCATGTTTCTGAAGGCTTGATTTATTATTTTATGATATATATTGTATTAAAATATACTCAAAGAATAGAAGAAAGGATTTCATCAGAAGGCTGGAGAAGAATAGAAAAAGAAAGAATGATGACAAAGGTTTGTGGCTTGGACAGAGAGTCCGAGCCAGCTGACTGTGATTGGCCATTAATTAGAAACAACCACATGAGACCAATCACAGATGCCCCTGTTGCATTCCACAGCAGCAGATAATCAATGTTTTCATTTTGTTCCTGAGGCCTCTCAGCTTCTCAGGAGGAAAAATCCTGAGGAAAGGATTTTTCATAAAACATGTCTGTGACACACCACCACCTGTCACTTGTCACCTCACTGCTGGGTGTTCAGACCTTCACTGCCGCCTCTCCCTGCTCCAGATTTCGTGATGCACCAGGTCCTGCCCTTCCAGGCGGTGTCGGCCGAGCCCTTCACCTACGCCAGTGACCTGTACGTGGCCCTGGCCCAACCCAGCGCCAGCAGCTGCTCCATCCTCAAGTGGGACTACGTGGAGCGCAAACTCCGCGACTTCGACCGCATCCCCGGTGAGGAACCGGGCTGGGGGTCCCCTCCTGGGCTGGGACCCTCTTTGGGATGCCCGGGCACTGGTGTGACTCCGTGGTTGTGCCACCAGCTCACTCGGCGGTGCACTGCAAGCCCATCGTGGCGCAGGAGCAGCTCTACGTGGTGGTGGCGCAGCTCTTTGGCGGCTCCTACATCTACCGCTGGGACACGGCCGTGGACAAGTTCATCAAGATCCAGGACATCGACAGCCAGAAGATCCGCAAGCCCAATGACATCGAGGCCTTCCAGATCGAGGGCGACTGGTACTTTGTCATCGCCGACAGCTCCAAGGCGGGCTCCACCAGCCTCTACCGCCTCAACCAGAACGGCTTCTACTCCCACCAAGCCCTGCACGCCTGGCACCGCGACACCGACGTGGAGTACGTGGAGAACGACGGCAAACCCCGGCTGATCATCTCCAGCAGCTCCCAGGCGCCCGTCATCTACCAGTGGAGCCGGGCCCAGAAGCAGTTCGTGCCTCAGGGCGAGGTGGGCGAGATGCTGGACGTGCAGATGGTCAAGCACTTCAGGGCCAAGCGGGAGCAGTTCCTGTGCCTCAGCCGCTACATCGGCGACTCCAAGGTGGTGCGCTGGGAAGGGCAGCGCTTCGTGGAGGTGCAGACGCTGCCGTCGCGCGGCTCCATGGTGATGCAGCCCTTCGCCGTGGGCCAGCGGCAGTACCTGGCGCTGGGCAGCGACTTCTCCTTCACCCACGTCTACCTGTGGGAGGAGGAGAAGCAGAAGTTCGCCAAGTTCCAGGAGCTGTCGGTGCAGGCGCCGCGGGCGTTCCGGGCCGTGCCGGCGGCCGATGTGCAGCTGCTGCTGGCGCCCAGCTTCAAGGCCAACACGCTGGTGTACCGGCACGTGGTGGTGGACCTCAGCCTGTAGCTGGCACCCCGAGAGCCACCGGACATGCATGAGCCCACCACCCCTTGTCCCACCCCACGTGCCGGCCCTCCACCTTCACCCAGCCCCACGGTGCCTCAGTTTCCCCACAGCGCTCCCGGGTTCACGCTGTGGGACGCCCCTTGCGCTGCAGAGCGTCACCCCTGGGGGGTGGAGAGGGTTTGGGGGGGGTCTTTGGGGTGGGAGATGGGGGTAGGAAAGGAGGGGGACAGCGGGCAGGGATGTGGTGGGAGGATTGGGGGGTTCCCAGGATGCTGAGGGGCTTTGGGATGGTCCAAAGGGGGTGGGATGGCCAAGGTGGATGTGGTGGCGTGGCCTGGGGAGGATGGATCTGAGGTGGATGCAGATGGGATGGTGAGGATGATGATGGGGGTGTCCTGGGATGGTCTGAGGATGCAGATGGGATGCTGAGGGTGATGATGGGATGCTAAGGATGATGATGGGATGCTCCAGGATGCTCTGAAGATCCAGATGGGATGCTGAGGATGATGATGGGATGCTGAGGGTGATGATGGGATGCTGAGGATGATGATGGGGTGCTCCAAGGTCAGCAGGATGCCCTGAAGATGATGATGGGGAGCTCCAGGATGCTCTGAGGATGAAGATGGGATGCTGAGGATGATGGGATGGGATGCTCCAAGGCCAGCAGGATGCCGTGAGGATGATGATGGGATGCTCCAGGATGCCCCGAGGATGATGACGAAAGCTCCAGGATGCTCTGAGGATGCAGATGGGATGCTGAAGATGATGATGGGATGCTCCAGTTTGCCCTGAGGATGATGATGGGATGATCCGGGATGCTCCGAGGTGGATGAAGCAGGACAGAGCAGTGCTCCAGGCCAGCAGCTCCTGTCCCTCTCCGTGCATGCCCAGCAGCTCCCCGTGCCCACGGCCCTGCTGCCAGGCAGGACCCAGCGTGCCAGCGGGGTGCCCGTGCCCACCAACCCCCCAATAAACACACTGTGCCCCCCAGCCCTGCCCGTGTGTCCTTCGCGTGGTGCCACCACCTCCTACCGACATTTCATGGTCCCAGGCAGAGGGAATTCCTCATTTTAGGGTGCACTTGGTGTTTTTTTCCAGCAGAAATCTTGGCCCACCTCAGTGTTTGCTCCATCCAACATTCTGCAGCCCCAGGCAGAGGGAATTCCTCATTTTAGGGTGCACTTGGTGTTTTTTTCCAGCAGAAATCTTGGCCCACCTCAGTGTTTGCTCCATCCAACATTCTGCAGCCCCAGGCAGAGGGAATTCCTCATTTCAGGGTGCACTTGGTGTTTTTTTCCAGCAGAAACCTCGGCCCACCTCAGTGCTTGCTCCATTCAACATTCTTCTGCCCCAGGGAGAGGGAATTCCTCATTTTTGGGTTCTCCTGACCCAAATATGGGGTTTTTTCCAACAGAAACCTTGGCCCACCTTGGTGCCTGATTTCTGCAGAGCCAGGGAGAGGGAATTCCTCATTTTTAGGGTGCACTTGGTGTTTTTTTCCAGCAGAAACCTCATCCCACCTCAGTGCCTGCTCCATCCAACATTCTGCTCCCCCAAGGAGAGGGAAATCCTCATTTTTGGGTTCTCCTGACCCAAATACGGGGTTTTTTCCAACAGAAACCTTGGCCCACTTTGGTGCCTGACATTCTGCTCCCCCAGGGAGAGGGAATTCCTCATTTTTGGGTGCACATGGGATTTTTTTCCATCAGAAACCTCCTCCCACCTCGGTGCCTGACATTCTGTTCCTCCAGGGAGAGGGAAATCCTCATTTTAGGGTGCTCCAGGCCCTACACATGGTTTTTAGGGTGTTTTTTCAGCAGAAACCTGGGCCCAGGGCGCTGGTGGGAAGCAGGAGGAGTTTCCCCAGGCAGGGGAGTCCCTGCTGGACTGGTTTGCCAGGGGAGCCTTTCCCTGGCTGCCAGGTGGATAAATATGCATGTGAAAAACCAGCAATTAAGAGCACAAATAAAGATCCTCTGCAGGGAACAGGCGGCCCCGGGGCACGGATGGGTTTGGGGAGAGGGATGGCTCTGGCAGGGCATTGCCACGTGGCCCTGCCTCAGTTTCCCTGGCAGGAAAAAGCAGATTTGGGAGCACTGCAAGAGGGTTCTGGCACTTCCATAGTAGTGGCCGTGACTGGGATGGAGAATCTGGGGAACTCTGGGTCAGTCTTGGAGCTGCAGGGCCTGGAGAGGGAACTCAGGCAGATTTTGGTTTTTTGGAGGCATCTTTCAGGACTCCACTCTTACACTTATCATCCTTTAGGGAGCCAAAAAAGCATCACATCCCCTCCAGACCCAAAAAAAATCCTTTAATATCAATCAGAGTGGCTTTCCCCTCCTTTCCCTAGTTTATTGATTTAAAAATTGTGTGTTTTAATATGTAGAAATATATGGATGAGGAAATTAATTTTTATGTTTTAAGGAGCATTTAATATATTAATGTAGTGATATTCGATATATATGGAGAATTTCAAACACAACATTTTTAGATATGTTTAGGATATTTATTGAAATTTAAAATATATATATGATTAATATATATGAAATATTTTATATATATTATATAATATATATAGATATACCGTATATGATATAAAATCAATATATAATATATTGATATTCGATAAAATTATAATATATAATATGATTATTCTAATTATTGATATAATTATAATATATATTATATAGTATATGAAACTTATTACAATATTGTTCAATTAATATATATTACATATTACATATTACATATTACATGTTACATATTATATATATTATATATTATATATTATATATTATATATTATATATTATATATTATATATTATATATTATATATTATAGAAATATATTATATATTATAGAAATATATTTATGTATATATTGATATATATTTATATAATGCATATTTATAGAATATGTGTTATATAAATATATTGATATTTAATATATTTAGGCAATTTATAAAATGTTTTTATTTTATAAAGCTGTGACTCACCGCTCCACCCGTGGGTCACTTTTAAGGGGCCCTGTTGCCCTTTTAAGAGGCTCTATTGCCCTTTTAAGGGCATTGCCCTTTTAAGAAGCTCCGTTGCCCTTTTAAGACCATTGCCCCTTTAAGAGCGGCCGGTGGGGCCCGGACCGCGCGTGCGCGGCTCGGTTGCTGCAACTTTCAACTTTTGGGATTCGCTCCCTCGGGGTTCGGGGGGAATTTGGGGGGATTTGGGAGCTCCCGGGGGGCGCAGCACCGCCACTCCCGCCCGGCACCCCCCGAGCCTTCAGCCCCGGCCGCGCCATGGTGTCCTGGATCCTCAGCCGGGTGATTGAGTGAGTAGGGGTCTGGGCGGTGTAACGGGAGGAGGGGGCGGGGAGGGTGGTCACGGGGATCCCCCATTCCCGGTCCCCCCATTCCCGGTCCCCCCATTCCCGATACCCCATTCCCGGTCCCCCATTCCCCGTCCCCCCTCCCGCTGTTCCGTTAACGGGGCTCCCCGTGCTGGGCTCGCAGCGGGGACCACTCCGAGAGGCCCCCAGCGGAGTTTGGGCGCCCGACCCCAAATTTTCCTATGGGGGTAACCAACACTCCCCCCCAGCCGTACCACCCCCCAAAATGGGTCCCAGAGCTGCTGCTGGGCCTCCCGGCCCGGCCTGGGCAGGGTGGGCACCCCAGCACCACCCAAGGGTGGGGGTCCCCTGAGGAGGCCCTGCCCCAACCGGGGGGGTTCCTGCTATGAGGATGCCCCCATTTCCTGGGGGGAGTCTCTGCTCTGAAGGTGCCCCCATTTCCTGGTGGCATCTCTGCCCACAGGGTCCCCCCATTTCCTGGGGGGGGGGGGTCTCTGTTCTGAGGGTGCCCCCATTTCCTGGCGAGGTCCCTGCCCAGAGGATCCCCCATTCCCTGGAGGGGTCTCTGCCCAGAGGGTCCCTGCCCACAGAGTCCCCCCGTTTCCTGGTGGGGTCTCTGCTCTGAGGGTCCCCCCCATTTCCTGGCGGCGTCTCTTCCCAGAGGGTCCCCCCATTTCCCAATTCCCTGGCGGAGTCCCTGCCCACAGGGCCCCCTCATTCCCTGGTGGGATCCTTGCCCAGAGGATCCCCCATTCCCTGACCGGCTCTCTGCTCTGAGGGTCCCCCCATATCCTGGGGAGGTTCCCTGTTCTGAGGGTCCCCCCACTTCCTGGCAGGGTGTCTGCCCACAGGGTGCCCCCATTTCCTGGCGGGGTCTCTCGGGGTCCCTGCTCTGAGGGTGCCCCCATTTCCTGGCAGGGTCCCTGCCTACAGGGTGCCCCCATTTCCTGGTAGGGTCTCTGCTCTGAGGGTCCCTTCCCAGAGGGTGCCCCCGTTTCCTGACCGATTCCCTGGTGGGATCCCTGCTCAGAGGGTCTCTGCCCACAGGGTGCCCTCATTCCCTGGCAGGGTCTCCTCTGAGGGTCCCTCCATTTCCTGGCTGGGCCTCTGCTCTGAGGGTGCCCCCATTCCCTGGCAGGGTCTCTGCCCACAGGGTGTCCCCATTTCCTGGCAGGGTCTCTGCTCAGCGGATCCTCCCATTTCCCAGGGGGGTCCCTGCCCAGAGGATACCCCCATTTCCTAGCGGGGTCTCTGCTCTGAGGGTCCCAGCCCACAGGGTGCCCCCATTCCCTGGTGAGGTCCCTGCCCACAGGGTGCCCCCATTTCCTGGCGGGGTCTCTCGGGGTCCCTGCCCAGTGGATTCCCCCATTCCCTGGCGGGGTCCCTGCCCAGAGCAGGGACACCAGGTGGGTTTTTGCGGTGCTGGCGCCTCCCTCAGCCCCAGCACCGAGCCTGGCACCGGGGACCGAGCCCGCAGGGAGCAGCCCGGGCCCTGCCCCGCCCGGACAGGTCGGGCCGGTCCCGGGGCTGTGGGAGGAACATGGCCGAGCCTCCTCGGAGCCTCCCGGGCCGCTGTCCCGGGCTCGGCTCGGTTCTGGAGGGGCTCCGGGCCGGGCTGCGGCGCCGGGCCCGGTGGCTCTGCTGGGCCGGGCTGCTGCTGCTCTACGCGGGCTGGCCGAGCTGCCTCATACCCCCCCTGCGCTACAGGCTGCTCTTCGGGATGCTCTACCCGGCCTACGCCTCCTACAAGGCGGTGAAGACGAAAAACATCCGTGAATACGTGAGTCAAGTGCTTGAGGAGCCCTTTTCCTGGGGCTCCAATCTCCCCCTTTTCCTGGGGCTCCAATCTCCCCCTTTTCCTGGGGCTCCAGTCCCCTCCTTTTCCTGGGGGTTCCAGTCCCCTCCTTTTCCTTGGGGCTCCCGTCCCCTCCTTTTACTTGGGGTTCCAGTCCCCTCCTTTTCCTGGGGGCTGCGGTCCCCTCTTTTCCTAGACCACAGTCACCCCCTTGAGTGAGTTGGGGCTCCAGGCCCCCCTTTTCCTGGGACTCCAGTCCCCCTTTCCAGTCCCCAGTCCCCCTTTCTGGGGTTCAGCCCCTCCTTTTCCCAGGCTCCAGTCCCCCCCCCCGTTTCCCAGGCTCCAAGTCCCCCCTTTTCCCCAGACTCCAGTGTCCCATTTCCAGAGTTCAGCCACCCTTTTCCTGAGTCTCCGGTCCCCCACTTTCCCCAGATCACAGTCCCCCTTTCTAGGGCTCCAGTCCCCCTTTCTGGGGTTCAGCCACCCTTTCTGGGGCTCCAGTCCTCCCCCCATCTTTCCAGGCTCCAGTGTCCCCTTTTCCCTGAGCTCCAGTCTCCTTTTCCCAGGCTCCAGTCCCCCTTTCTGGGGTTCAGCCCCCCTGATGTGCTCCCTGTGCTCCCCAGGTCCGATGGATGATGTACTGGATCGTCTTCGCTCTCTTCATGACCGCAGAGACCTTCACCGACCTCCTCATCTTCTGGTGAGCCTGGGGAGGGACTCTGCTGTCCCAAACCCCCCCAGATGTGTGGGGGGACCATGAGGTGCCTTTGGACCCCCCATCTCCTGCCTTCTCACCCAGGCTCCCCTTCTACTACGAGGTGAAGATGGCTTTTGTCATCTGGCTGCTGTCCCCTTACACGCGGGGGGCCAGCCTGCTCTACCGCCGCTTCGTGCACCCTGCGCTGGCCCGCAGGGAGAAGGTAAAACCCCAAAGTCCGGGGAGGTAAAACCCCAAAATCCGGGGAGGTAAAACCCCAAAATCCGGGAAGGTAAAACCCCAAAATCCGGGAAAGTAAAACCAGAAAATCTGAGGAGGTGAAGCCCCAAAATCCGGGGAGGTAAAACCCCAAAGTCAGGGAAGGTAAAACCCCAAAGTCAGGGAAGGTGAAACCCCAAAATCCGGGGAGGTGAAACCCCAAAATCCGGGGAGGTGAAACCCCAAAATCCGGGAAGGTAAAACCCCAAAATCCAGGAAGGTAAAATCCGGGGAGGTGAAACCCCAAAATCCGGGGAGGTGAAACCCCAAAATCCGGGGAGGTGAAACCCCAAAGTCCAGGAAGGTAAAACCCCAAAATCCAGGAAGGTAAAACCCCAAAATCCCGGGGTTCTGGGGGTCCCCCTGCCCAGCCTGGGGGAAGTCAGCCCCTCCTTGAGTTGGGGTGGTGACAACCCGGGGATGTGGCATTGCTCCAGGTCTTGGGAGGTGACAATGCCCTGGGACATGGGCATGCACTGGTGGGGTTACACTTCCCTGGGAGTGACAGTGCCCTGGGAGGTGACAATGCTCAGGGAATGCCTCAGGACATGGCATTGCCCTGGGAGGTGACAGTGCCCTGGGACATTGCAATGCTGTGGAAGGTGACGATGCCCAGGGACATGGCATTGCCCTGGGAGGTGACACTTGCAATGCCCCAGGATGGTGATGGTGCCTCAGGTTGTTATGATGTCCCTGGAGGTGACAATACCCAGGGACATGGCATTACCCTGGGAGGGGACAGTGCCCTGGGACATGGGCATGCACTGGGGGGTGACAATGTAAAGGGAACTCAGGGAATGCCCCAGGTGATGGCATTGCCCTGGGAGGTGACAATGCTCAGGGAATGCCCCAGGTGATGGAAGGTGACAGTGCCCTGGGACATGGGGATGCATGTGGGGGTGACAGTGCCCAGGGACTTGGCATTGCCCTGGGAGGTGACAGTGTCCTGGGAGGTGACAATGCTCAGAGACATGGTGATCTGTTGGGGGGTGACAATGCTCAGGGAATGCCCTAGGACATGGCATTGCCCTGGGAGGTGACAGTGTCCTGGGAGGTGACAATGCTCAGAGACATGGTGATCTGTTGGGGGGTGACAATGCTCAGGGAATGCCCTAGGACATGGCATTGCCCTGGGAGGTGACAGTGCCCTAGGAAGTCACCATGCCCAGGGAGGTGACAATGCCCAGGGAGCCAGCCATGCCCCAGCGGTGACCCTGCCCAGGCCACCCCCCTGCCCTGCCATCACGTCCCCGTTTGTCTCTCAGGACATCGACGCGTTCCTGGTGCGCGCCTGCGAGCGCAGCTACGAGACCGCGCTGAGCTTCGGCAAGAGGGGCCTCAACCTGGCGGCCACTGCTGCTGTCCAGGCAGCCACCAAGGTACCCAGCAGGGTGACAGAGGAGGGTGACACCCCCTGAGATGGGGTCTGACTGTCCTCTCCTGTCCCCGTGCAGAGCCAGGGCGCGCTGGCCGGGCGGCTCCGCAGCTTCAGCATGCACGACCTGCGCTCCCTGACCGAGCAGGCCCCCGTGCACTTCCAGGACCCGCTGTACCTGGAGGAGCAGGAGGGCCTCCAGCAGCCCCTGGGTGAGCAGCTGGGTGGTCACAGAGAGGGGGGACCCAGCAAAGCCCATGGTGGCCGTGCTGGAGGTGGCACGTCCCCTCTGTCCCCAGGGCTCCGCTACGAGAGCGAGTCGGACGAGGAGGAGCTGTGGTCGGACTCGCAGGTGTCCCCCTCGGCGTCCCCACGCCGGGATGCCAGGCCCCTGTCCCGCTGGCAGAGCCTGAGAAACCTGAGGAAGAACCCAGGAAAAGAGGTGACATGGGAGGGGGACACACACTGGGGCTGTGGGGCTGCCTCAGGGTGTCCTGACCTTGTCCCCGTCCCTTTTCCCTGCCCAGGGCTCCTGCCGCCCCCAGCGCAGGACCAGGAGGAGAGCGGCTCTGTCAGAGCAGGAGAGCTGAGAATGCCAGGAAACCTCTGCCAGGAGTCTGGACAGGAATTTGCTGCTGCGGCATCAGGAGGGACCTGTGGCTCTTGGCATCCCCTGGGGTGGCTCCTTGTGTCCCCAGGGTGGCTCCTGGCATCCCTGGGGAGGCTCCTGGCATCCCTGGGGAGGCTCCTTGTGTCCCCAGGGTGGCTCCTGGCATCCCTGGGGAGGTTCCTTGCACCCCTGGGGAGGTCCTGGACCCTTGGGGTGGCTCCTGGCATCCCCAGGGTGGCTCCTTGCACCCCTGGGGAGGCTCTTGCACCCCTGGGATCCTCCCCCTGTAAATCCCTTCCACGTGGCCCCTGGAGGAGGGGGAGCAGCTCACCCCCAGCCCCCCCAGCTCGGCGCTGGCGCCTCTCCTGTGGGGTCTGGCCCCTCCTTTTCCCCCATGCCATGAACACTACAGGCTCCCCCCCCTTCTCCTGCTGCCATGGTGCCTTGTTCACAACATTCCTCTTCCCCTGGGAGCCAGCAGTGCGTGTGCCTTGTCCCTCTGAAGCCAAAGCCACGGGCCCTGCCTGGGCCCCCCACCAGACACAGACTGACACCCCCATACTTGAGCCCGGAGCACTGGGCAGCGCACAGCTTTTAACATTCCCCTCTCCCAAAAAGAGGGTTTTGTACCTGGAGAAGTAAATGTTTGTTTCAGACTTTGGGAGGCAGGAGTTGTCCCCAGTGCCGTCCCCTTCCACAGAAGCTTCCTGAGATTGGTTTTTCTCTTGGAGGAAGCTCTGGAATCCATCTGGACTCCTCCAGGGCTTCTCCCAGAGTGTTTCCATCATTGTTCCAGGATCCCAGGTACAGGCTCAGACTCTTCCAGGAAAGTTTCCTGAGATTTTTTTCTTTTAGAGGAAGCTGTAGCCTCAGGGATTCTCCAGGCATCTCCCCAAGCCTTTTCCCCACATTTCAGGTTCCAGAATCCCCAATAGCATCGTCCAACTCCTCCATGGAAGCTTTCTGTGTTTTTTTTTTTTTTTTCCTTTGGAGGAACTGTACTCTCAGGGATCCATCCAAGACTCGCTCCAGACATCTCCCAGAGCCTTTCCCCCACATTTCAGCTTCCAGAATCCCCCATAGCACCCCCTGACTCCTCCAGAGAAGCTTCCTGAGATTTTTTTCCTTTGGAGGAAACTGCACCCTCAGGGATTCTCCAGACATCTCCCAGATCCTTTCTACATATTTCAGGCTCCAGAATTCCCAATAGCATCCTCCAACTCCTCCATGGAAGCTTTCTGCGGGTTTTTTTTCCTGTGGAGGGACTGTACTCTCAGGGATCCATCCAAGACTCCCTCCAGACATCTCCCAGAGCCTTTCCCCCACATTTCAGGTTCCAGAATCCCCCATAGCACTCACCAATTCCTCCAAGAAAGTTTCCTGAGATTTTTTTCCTTTGGAGGAAGCTCAGGGATCCATCCAAGCTCCATCCAGGCATCTCCCAGAGCCTTTCCCACATATTTCAGGTTCCTGAATCCCTGATAGCATCCCCTAAGTCCTCCAGGGATGCTGCCTATGAATTTTTCCTTTGGAGGAAGCTGCACCCTCAGGGATCCATCCAGGATCCCTCCAGGCATCTCCCAGATCTTTCCCCCCTATTTCAAGTTCCAGAACTCCCGATAGCACCCCCTGACTCCTTCAAGAAAGTTTCCTGAGATTTTTCTCCTTTGGAGGAATCTGTACTCTCAGGGATCCATCCAAGATCCCTCCAGGCATCTCCCAGAGCCTTTCTCCACATTTCAGGTTCCAGAATCCCTGATAGCCTCCTGTGAGTCCTCCAGGGAAACTTCCTGAGACTTTTTTATTTTGGAGAAAACTGCACCCTCAGGGATTTTCCAGGTATCTCCCACAGCCTTTCCTCCATATTTCAGGCTCCAGAATCCCAAACAGCGTCCCCCAACTCCTCCATGGAAGCTTTCTGTGGGTTTTTTTCCTTTGGAGGAATCTGTACTCTCAGGGATCCATCCAAGACTCCCTCCAGACATCTCCCAGAGCCTTTCCCCCACATTTCAGGTTCCAGAATCCCCCATAGCACTCACCAATTCCTCCAAGAAAGTTTCCTGAGATTTTTTTCCTTTGGAGGAAGCTCAGAGCTCCATCCAAGACTCCATCCAGGCATCTCCCAGAGCCTTTCCCACATATTTCAGGTTCCTGAATCCCTGATAGCATCCCCTAAGTCCTCCAGGGATGCTGCCTATGAATTTTTCCTTTGGAGGAAGCTGCACCCTCAGGGATCCATCCAAGACTCCCTCCAGGCATCTCCCAGAGCCTTTCTCCACATTTCAGGTTCCAGAATCCCCTATAGCACCCTCAAGCACTCCTCCAAGAAAAGTTTCCTGATATTTTTTTTCCTTTGGAGGCAGCTGCACCCTCAGGGATCCTCCAGACATCTCCCAAAGCCTTTCCCCCACATTTCAGGCTCCAGAATCCCAAATAGCATCCCCTGAATCCTCCATGGAAGCTTCCTGAGATTTTTTTGCTTTAGAGGAAGCTGTACTCTCAGGGATCCATCCAAGACTCCCTCCAGGTATCTCCCAGAGCCTTTCCCCCACATTTCAGGTTCCAGAATCCCCTGACTCCCATAGCATCCCCCCATTCCCCCATAGCATCCCCCGACTTCTCCGGGGAAACTTCCTGAGATTTTTTCCTTTTGGGGGAATCTGTACCTTTAGGGGTTCTCCGGGAATGCTTCCCGCGACCATTTTCTCATTTGGAAGGAATTCTGTCCCCCAACTCTTCCAGAGATGCTTCTGGAAACCATTTTCTCATTTAGAGGCAACTCCCTCCTTGGCAATCCCACCCCACGCTCCTCACGGGCGTCTCCCGTGTCCCTTCTGTGTCCCTTTGACATTCCCCAATTCCCGGCGCTCCTGCAGTAGCCGCGTCCCCCACGGCGCGGCAGCAGCACCCGGGACACCGGGACTGTCCCGGCCACCCCCGGATTGTCCCCTGTCCCATCCCCAGCCGGGAGGGTGGCACAAGGTGACTCCGTGCCTATCCCGCCGTGCCCCTGCTCGCTGGCATCAATCCCCTCGCTCCCAATCCCGCCTGCCCTCACCTCGGGGCCAGCTCTAGTTGTATTTTTAGCCCTTGGCTGCCGCCCGATTTCGGGGGTCTCCCAGGGCTCTGCGGGGCAGCCCGGGCCGGCCAGGGGTGTTGGAGCAGCTTAGGTGGAGGTGGCCGGATTAGCCCTGTCCAACGAGACGATTACTGAGAGCAGCCGAGGGAGGAAGGCTGGGTGGGGACAGCGAGGGCCAGGGGCTGCCTGTAATCCCCTAAAGCCGCTTAGGGAGCGCGGTTCCTCCAAGGATACGGCCCGGGGAGGCTGCTGGGGCCAGCCGGGGGTCAAACGGGGGGTTCTTGCATCTTGGGGGGCTCCAAGTGGGGTCACGGCAGCGTTGGAACCTCGGTGTTGCATCCTCGGGGTGCATGTGGGGGTGACAGTGCCCAGGGACATGGCATTGCCCTGGGAGGTGACAGTGCCCTGGGAAGTGACCATGCCCAGGGAGGTGACGATGCCCAGGGTCCCAGCCATGCCCCAGAGGTGACCCTGCCCAGGCCACCCCCCTGCCCTGCCATCACGTCCCCGTTTGTCTCTCAGGACATCGACGCGTTCCTGGCGCGCGCCCGCGAGCGCAGCTACGAGACCGCGGTGGGGGGTTCCCAGCTTGGGGAAACTGAGGCACGGCACCAGCGCCGTCCTGGGAAGGGACAGCGAATTTTGGTGTCCTGCTTTGCTCACCCCGCGTGTCCCCCGGGGGCTGAAACGCAAGGAGGAGACAGGGACAGGAGGAGGGTAGGGTGGCACAGCCCGTCCCCACGGGGCTCGGCAGCTGCGGCGGTGCCAGCGCTGATGGCAGCTGCGTCAGCGCACGGGCCGGTGCCAGGCTGCATCAGCAGAGCCCTAATCCCCCGCGGCTCGCCTGGCACCGCCCCAGCAGCAGCAGTTTAAGCGCCTGACCTGAGCTCGCCCGCTGCCACCGTGCCCTCCGGGGAGGGGCTGCCAGGCTGAGCACGGCTGGCTCCGCTGTGGGGACCCCCTGTGCCAACCTGTGCCACCCCAAAGCCCTGGGAAGGGTTTGGGTGGCTGGAGTCGGGGACAGCGGGGCTGGGGGGGTGTAATAGGTGACACAACCGAGGGGGCTCTGCTCAGGTGAGACCCCACCTGCAGCTCGGGGGTCCCCAATACCAGAGTGGAGCTGCTGGAGCCAGTCCAGAGGACGCCACGGAGCTGCTCCAGAGCTGGAGCCAGGTTAGGAGAGCTGGGGGTGCTCACCTGGAGAGGAGAAGGCTCCAGGGGCACCTCAGAGCCACTTCCAGGTCCTGAGGGGCTGGGGACACGGCAGGGAGGGACAGGACACCGGGAATGGCTCCCTGCCTGCATCCCTGCAGCTGGCAGGGGACCCGGTGACGCAGGGCTGCTCTGTGCCAGCTGACAGGGACACGGCTGATGCTGTGCCAACCCCGGGCCGTGGTTCCTGCAGGGCCGGGGGTGCCAGGGCTGGGCACTGCGGTGGTGTCACTCACCCACCCTTGTTCTCTCTGAGGCTCAGGGAAATTTGGGGTCATCACTCCTGAGTGGGGTTTACCTACCCAGGGAGCTGCTGGATGCTTGGGGTGCCATCCCTGAGAGCAGCCTGAGCCCCCCCAAACCCACCCTGGTGACACCGAGTGACATCAGGCTCCTGCCACCCCCCTCCTTCCCTGCCCCATGCCCATCTCATTTCCCCCCTTTTCTCTGCGATGCTCCTGCCATCCCCCCAGCCCGGCAGTTTGGGGGTCCCAGGTGCGGGTGGCACCCCCCGGTGCCCACGGGGCTCCCCCCACGCTGTCCCCTGCCGGTGGCCGCGGTCTGAGTCAGCTGCTGGGGCCGCAGCCATGTGAGGCCGCGCACACATGGCTCCCCGCGCGGCACCGGGCTGTATTTTTAGCAGACGGTATCAAAAGCATAATTATGTCTGTTGTTTAAACGCAGCCTCTTTTCTGGCAGCCCCGGGAGCTCTCAGCTGCCTCCCGCCGCAGAGGGCAGCGAGGGCGGGCTGAGGAGAAGCGGGGGGGATGATGAGACCCCCCTCCATCCATCCATCCATCCATCCATCCATCCATCCATCCATCCATCCATCCATCCATCCCTCCCCAGGTAAAACCTCCCCACTCATTCTGGGGGGGTTCCCACTGCGCCCCCACACCGTGTCTACAGCGCGCTCATGCCCCCCAGGCTGCCGGTGAGGATGAGGAGGAGGAGGAGGATGATGGCGAGGATGACGGGTGGGAAGCGCGGCGGTGGCGGGAGGGGTCGGGAAAAGGGCGTTCGAGGTGACGGGAGTGTGGGAGGACACGGCTGAAGGAGCGCGGCTGCTGCTGCTGCTGCTGCCGCTGCATCCCCCCCTCCTCCCCGCAGCCGCCTGTCCCCCCGGGGACGCGTCTGTCCCCAGCCAGCCCGCGCTGGCACCGAGCGCCGTCCCGGCTCCGTGTCCCCGCCGTGACACCGCGGGGCTGAGCCGTTTTTGGGGACCGCAATCCCCAGAGCGAGCTGGGCACCCCAGGCGGAGCGGGGAAACTGAGGCACAGCATTTCCAACTGAGGCAGCGAGAAGCTGCCCAGCGCTCTGTCCCGTGGCACCGCGAGCTGGAGCACCGTGGGGACACCGGAGCCCCCGGGCACTGCCAGGTAGGTGCTGCCAGGCGCGCCGGGGTGGCACAGCGGGCTGCCCGTATCCCTGGCTGCCGCGCTAAGCCCTTGGCCGCGGGGTGAGCTTTTAATGGCATCAAGGTATTTGAAGCGGGTTCCTGGCGCTGGGTAAACAGGAGTGCCGGGCACGTGGAGGGGGGCACGGGGTGGCACAGACCGGGCACGGTGCCCGTGAGAGGAGGGAAGGAGGGATGCGGGGACGGCAGCACCGGGCAGCATCATCCATCACCCCCGGGCTGGCACAGCGGCATGGGGGGCACCCCTGGCACAGGTGGGTTGGCTGCCACATCCCGCCGTGCCCTCTGACGCTGCTTCTCGCTCCGTCCATCTCAAGCTTTGCCTTGAGGGCTTGCGGCACCGGGGCCGAACCGGGACCAAACCGAGCCGGGCCGGGCGCGTTGCGGGTGCCGGGAGCGGCCCCAGCCCGGGCACAGCGGCTCGTCCGTCCCGGCAGCGCAGCGAGCTGCGGGATTAGCGCTGCTTACTCACCTCCCCGGGGAAAAGCGGCAGATTAGGGCCGGCAGAAGTGTCCGACCCTGCGGCGGCGGGGCCGCTGGGGCTGTCCGGCACCGGCACCGGCACCGGGGAGGTGCCCGGGCCCCGGCGAACCGGCAGCCGGGGCTGGAGGGGAGCGCAGGCTGCCAGAGCAGTTGGGCTGTGGCCCTAATTCCCAGAAAGCCGCTCGTGTGGGAGTGAGTGTCCTCCCGTGCCCTCCGCTCCGCCGCAGCCTCCAGACTCCTGAAGGTTTGACGTGGGGTTTTTTTTTTTTTCTTTCTTTTTTTTTTTTTTTCTTCTTTTATTTTTTTTTTTAATTTAAGCGCCGGGTGCAGATTAACAAAAGCTCTGACGGTCACCGCGCCCGGTGCTGGGCACGGGAGGGGGATCGGGGCTTCTTCCTCTGCCTGCGCCCTCAGCTTCCTCACCTGCGCTGCAGGCAGGTAGGTGCGTGCCGGGCTCCGTGCCGGGCTGCGAGGAGGAGGAGGAGGAAGGAGGAGGAGGAAGAGGAAGGGCTGAGGTTCTGTGTGCGCACTCCGGGCAAGCCGGAGCGGGGATCCATTTTGCATGAGGAAAAAGCTGGAGTTTGGGTTCTTCCCGGGTGGATTTTTGGGTTCTTCCTCCGTGGATTTTGGATTCTTCCCCCCGTGGATTTTGGGTTCTTCCCCCGTGGAGTTTGGGGTTCTTCCCCCGTGGATTTTTGGGTTCTTCCCCCGTGGATTTTGGGTTCTGCCCTGGTAGATTTTGGGTTCTTCCCCGGTGGATTTTTGGGTTCTCCCCCGGTGGATTTGGGGTTCTCTCCTGGTGGATTTTGGGTTCTTCCCCGGTGGATTTTTGGGTTCTCCCCCGGTGGATTTGGGGTTCTCTCCTGGTGGATTTTGGGTTCTTCCCCTGTGAATTTTGGGTTCTTCCCCAGTGGATTTTTCTCCCCCGGTGGATTTTTGTCCTTCCCCGGGCAGAGGCGTTTTGTGGGGCTGGGGGTGCCCTGGTCCCTGCTCCAGGCGAGCACTGTGGGCACCGGGCTGGGGCTGGCAGGACCCTGCTGGGACATCAGCAGAGGGGTTTGGGGGACCAGGAACTTCATCCATCCCTTCCCCGGTGCTGGATCATTCTGGGGATCCCTTATCCCACACAGATCCCCCATGGGGACACCGTGGGGACAATGTCCCTCAGTCCCACATCCTCACGGTGTCCTCTGGGATCATGGGGGACACCGTGGGGACAATGTCTCTGTGCCCCACATCCCCACAGCGTCCCCCCATTATCCTAGGGGCTGCCATGGGGACCGTGTCCCTCTACTCTGCGTCCCCACAGCATCCCCCATGATCTCAGGGACACCGTGGGGACAGTGTCCCCGTGCCCCATGATCCCAGGGGACACTATGGGGACAATGTCCCTCTGCTCCACATCCTCAGCGTCCCCCATGATCTCAGGGGACACCGTGGGGACAGTGTCCCTGTGCCCCACGTCCCCACAGCGTGCCCCCGATGCCGGAGCGGGGCAGGGATGCCGAGCTCTCTCACTCGGGAGTTTCCGGCCGCCACTCCACTCCTGGGTGTTGCCGTCCCTCTGTTTTGGGATAAAACCAAAGATTTTGGTGCTCTGTGCCAAGCCACCAAGGCAGAACCCCCTCGGGAGTTACTCGCAGCTGGCAGAGCTCAAACCCGGCCTGGACCCCCCCCGCTTCACCCTGGGGACCCTCTGGGGGTCGTGCTGGGACAGCAGGGAGTGGAGAGACCCTGCAGGGGCTGTGGGAGCAGGCAGGGGATGCGGAGCGGTGCCTGAGCTCCAGCAGAGCTTCCCACAGCGTGACCGCCCCGTGGGGACCGCCCCGGCCCCGGGGAGGCTCCACCAGCGCTCACTGGCACGCCGAGGGCAGCGCGGCGTGGGGAGGGGGCAGTGCCCAGGGACGCTGCCCCAGTGCATGGTGGGAAATTCCCTGCTGTCCCTCCATCGTCCCCCTGCTGTCCCTCCATCATCCGTCCCCCTGCTGTCCCTCCATTGTCCCCCTGCTGTCCCTCCATTGTCCCCTTGCTGTCCCTCCATCGTCCATCCCCCTGCTGTCCCTCCATCATCCATCCCCCTGCTGTCCCTCCATTGTCCCCCTGCTGTCCCTCCATCGTCCATCCCCCGGCTGTCCCTCCATCATCCATCCCCCTGTTTTCCCTCCATTGTCCCCCTGCTGTCCCTCCATCGTCCCCCGGCTGTCCCTCCATCATCCATCCCCCTGTTTTCCCTCCATTGTCCCCCTGCTGTCCCTCCATCCTTCCCCTGTTTTCCCTCCATCCTCCCCCTGCTCCCCCCTCCTTGCCCCATCCACCCTGCTGGTGTTTCCAGCCTGGTGCATCCGTCCCTGTCCCCTCCTGTCCCCTCCTGGGGACATTCCCAGGGCACCCCCAGTAAGCAGAGCCCTCCCCGGGCTCCGTCCCGCTGCCAGCTCCGTGCCAGCCCTTCCGGATCCCTCATTCCTGAGCGAGGGAGGGAGGCAGAGGGAAGAGTTCGTCTTTCAGCACCTTCTCATCGCAGGCAGGCGCGGGCTCTCCCTCGCCCCGAGCTCTGTCTGGGTCCCCTCCCTGTTCCCTGGCACCCACTGGGTGCAGCCAGCAGCGCCCCAAAACCCTCTGGGCGAGCAAGGTTGGGGGTCCCGCTGTGCCCGGCCGTGGGATGGCACAGCCTGGCACCTGCCCAGCAAGGGTTAACCCGCGCTGCCCGCTCCCAGCGGGACCAAAGCGCTGAGCTGGAGCTGCCCTGGCACGGCTGGGCTCCTCAGAGCCCTCAGCCCTTCTCCCGTGGCCCCCGAGCCGTGCCGAGCCGTGCCGTGCCCAGGTTTATGTAAGGCTGGCACGGCCCGGGCACACGCGGGTTACATAAACCCTGGCAGCGGTGCCAGCCCCCCCCGGGAGCCCAGGAATGGGGGGTTCCACCTGGGACACCCCCCCGGGTGTGCTCCACAGTGGGTGGGGTGGGGTCGGGGGTCCTCGCGCTGGGGGCCTTGGGGATTGGGGACAGTGGGGGGGCACCCACAAGGTGCCAGGTTTGGCTGGTGGCATGCAGGGCATGGCTGGGATGGGTGTGAGCCTGGTGGGCATTGGTGGGATCTGTGAGATCCTGGTGGGAATTGGTGGCATGGATATGATCTTGGTGGGCATTGGTGGGATCTGTGTCACCCTGATGGGCACAGCTGGGATGAGTGTGATCCTGGTGGGCACAGCTGGCATGGACGTGATCCTGATGGGCACAGCTGGGTGGGATCTGTGTGACCCTGGTGGGCATGGCTGGGTGGGATCTGTGTGACCTTTGTGGGCACAGCTGGCATGGATGTGACCTTGGTGGGCACAGGTGGGGTCTGTGAGATCGTGGTGGGCATTGGTGGGGTCTGTGAGATCCTGATGGGCACAGCTGGCATGGATGTGACCCTGATGGGCACAGCTGGGATCTGTGTGACCCTGGTGGGCATTGGTGGGGTCTGTGAGACCCTGACGGGCACAGCTGGGTGGGATCTGTGTGACCCTGGTGGGGTATTTGTGGGATCTGTGAGATCCTGGTGGGCACAGCTGGCATGAGTGTGAGCCTGGTGGGCATTGGTGGGTTCTGTGTGTTCCTGGTGGGCATGACTGGGATGGTTGGATGTGACCCTGGTGGGCACGGCTGGATGGGATCTGTGTGATCCTGGTGGGCACAGTTGGCAGGGGTGTGATCCCAGTGGGCATGGCTTGGATTTTTGTGACCCTGATGGGCTGCAGGGCAGGGATGAGTGGCCCCAGGCGCTCCCTCCCCATCCCTGGTGAGGGTGGCACTGCCAGCATGCTGGCACAGCATCCCTGTGCTGCCCAAGGCCCCTCTGCACCCCTTGGAGCACTCCCTGCTCTGCTGTGGGGTCTGCAGGAGCTCTGCCTGCACCCCAAGAGCTCTGCTGTCCCCCAAGAGCTCTCTCTGCCCCCCAGGATCTCTCTCTGCCCCCCAGGCAGGGGCAGCAGGGTGGGACCCAGCTCTGGATCACACTCCAGGCCAGATCTGTGACTTTTGGCCAAAGCCGAAGGGATTTGGGCTCCCGGGGACTCCCACCCCATGGCACGGCCCCCTGCCCCGTGCTGTCCCTGTCCCCAGCGCCAGCTCAGGGACTCGTGGCCCATCCCGGTGTTTGTCCCGTTCCGGTTCGTCCCGGAGCGGGCGGCTCGGAGCCTTTCATGGGTGCCGGGGCGGCCTTGGCGAACAAAGGGCGCTTTCTTCACCCGCACGGGGCACAGCACACCTGCCCGCCCTGGCACCGCCGCCGGTGCCCTCGGGGCTGGGCGCTTCCCGCTTCCCGGGCGTCAGCAGCGCCAGCATCCATCCCATCCCATCCCATTATCCCATCCCATCCCGTCCCTGCCGCCCGCCCAGCGCTGCCGGAGCCGGCGGAGGCTGCACGCTCGTGGGGAGCAGAGCCGCTGCCACCTCGTTGTCAGCCCCGCGATGCTCAGGGCTGCCTAGAAGCGGGGGAAGGTCCCGATCGCGCCGCCGCCGCTGCTCCCCCCCGGGCACCCCAATCCCCGAACCGCAGCCCGCCGCCACCGCCAGCTCGTAGCACCACGGAGCCTCCCAAGCCAATGGATCAAAAACTGCAGGAGGAGAGGAACATCCCCAGGGCCGCCCGGGCGGCTTTCTGCCTCCTGCAGATCCCGGAGCCGGACCCCTTCAGCCTGTGGGTTTAGGCGCTCCCGCCCGGCCGCTTTCGCCTCTCCCGGACCCGGTGGCACCGGCGGAGACCCCGCTCGTCCTCGGCGCTGGGGTCCCTGATGGACCCCGCAGGTAGCTCAGGGGCGCTGGGGGTGCTGCGGAACAGCGGGAGCGGCGTCCTGTGCTGGCCCGAGGGACAGGGACAGTGTCACCATGGCGGGAGTGTCACCCTCGGGGATGGGACAGCCTGGGGACAGCGCTGGAGGATCTCCCTGAGGTGGGGCTGGGTGGGACAGGGGAGCTGTCCCCAAGGTGTCCCTGTGCCCCAGGCTGTCCCTGTGCCTCATGGTGGCTGTCCCCAGGGTGTCCTTGTCCCCAGGGTGTCCCTGTGCCCCACGGTGGCTGTTCCCAGGGTGTCCCTGTGCCTCATGGTGGCTGTCCCCAAGGTGTCCCTGTGCCCCAGGGTGTCCCTGTGCCCCACGGTGGCTGTCCCCAGGCTGTCCCTCTGCCCCACGGTGGGTGTCCCCAAGGTGTCCCTGTGCCCCACGGTGGCTGTCCCCAGGGTGGCTGTCCCCACGGTGTCCCGCGATGCTTCCCGAGCCCCGTGGGAATGGGGGCTTTGCCCTCTTTAGGGGAAGGATGTGACAGGGACAAGCGGCTCTGGGGACACACGGTGCTGTCCCCACCCTTCTCCTTTCCCCACCTTGCTCCTGTCCCCATCCCGGCCCTCGGGGCGGTCTGTCCCACCCCACAGCGGGGCCGGGAGCTGGCTGAGCTCGGCTCTGTCCCCTGGGCCGCTCCGGACCGGGGGACACGGAGGACACGGGGGACACGGGGACAGGATGCCGGGTCTGGCTCCACAGCCTCACCTGCGTGTGGCCCGGGTCCCGGCGGAGCGCTAATCCTACAAATCCCCCCCGGCATTTCTCCCAGGAGGGGTCCCTGCGAGCGCGGAGCTCCCCCCTGGCTGGGAGCCCTGCTGGGAAGCGCACCCAGCCCTGCCCGGGGGCGAATGCCTGCGCAGGGCACGGCCTCCCCACGCTGGGTGCCAGGGTGCCAGCGGCCGGGCACGGCGCCAGCCTGGGCAAGGAGGGACCGGCGGTGGGCGCGGGGAGCCGCCAGCCCCGCCGCGACGGGACGGGATGCGACGGCGACACCCGGCCCGGACACGGGGCCGCTCGGATCGTGTGGCCCGCGGGGAAGGGGAGCCGGGGGTCCCGGGGGTCTCCCCAAAAACACCGCAGGATGGAGCTGGGGGGTTGAAAGCAGCGCCACAGCAACACCGCCGAGCATCGCCGTGCCTCAGTTTCCCCGCAGGGGTGGGCGCTGCTCCCCTGCGCTTGCCGTGGTGCACAATGGCTGATGGCGAGGAGTCCTGCTGGGCTGTTGCTCCCACTCTGATTTCCCCTCGCAGTTTGTGATTGCCACCTTGCTCAGTGCCTGTCTGCAGAGCCAAGAGCCCTGGGCAGGACTTGTGGCCATGAAGCACCTACAGGAAAAAGAGAAAAATCTCATTGTTTGGGAGCATCTCTGCTTCTGGCATCTTTAAACAGAAAACAAAACTGACTTTCTCCCCACTCTGCATAGATCTGGGGCAGCCCTATGAAATGAGCGTGCTCCATCCTCCCGTGCCCCAAACACCGCAGGATGGAGCTGGGGGGTTGAAAGCAGCGCCCCAACAACCCCCCCGAGCATCGCCGTGCCTCAGTTTCCCCGCAGGGGTGGGCGCTGTTCCCCTGCACTTGCCGTGGTGCACAATGGCTGATGGCGAGGAGTCCTGCTGGGCTGTTGTTCCCTCTCTGATTTCCCCTCGCAGTTTGTGATTGTCACCTTGCCCGGAGCCAAGAGCCCTGGGCAGGACCTCTGGCCATGAAGCAACTACAGGAAAAAGAGACAATCTCATTGTTTGGGAGCATCTCTGCTTCTAGCATCTGTTAAACAGGAAAAACTGATTTTCTCCTCACTTCGCACAGATCTGGGGTAGATCCGAGCTGTGGCAGCCCTATGAAATGAGAGTGCTCCATCCTCCCGTGCCCCAAACACCGTAGGATGGAGCCGGGGGGTTGAAAGCAGCACCCCAACAACCCCCCCGAGCATCGCCGTGCCTCAGTTTCCCCGCAGGGGTGGGCGCTGCTCCCCGCTGGTGTCGCTCCCCTGCGCTTGTCGTGGTGCACAATGGCTGATGGCGAGGGGTCCTGGTGGGCTGTTGTCCCCCCTCTGATTTCCCCCTGCAGCTTGTGGTTAAACTGGTGCTGCCACCTTGCCCAGTGCCTGATCTCCCCAAAAACACCGCAGGATGGAGAAAGCGGCGCCCCAACCACCCCCCCGCCAGAAGCATCGCCGTGCCTCAGTTTCCCCGCAGCGCTGCTCAGGCAGGGCTGGGCTGGGTTAGGGTTATGATGCCGCTCTCGCTGCCCGCAGGGACGGCGCTGAGCACCCCATGAGCGCGGCAGCAGCACGGCCAGCGACGCGAGGATGGGGGAGAGCCCGGCGCGCTGGAGAAGGGCGGCGGAGGCAGCGCAGGACTCGCGGGGCATGGAGAGCAGCGCCATGCTGCTGTCCCGGAGCGCCGGGGCCGAGCTGGGCCTCGCGGCCTACCCAGAGCCCGGCGAGCTGAGCTACACCCTGGAGAAAGGCTGGAGGAGCTCCGAGGGGTGCTTGGGAGCCGGTGCCCACCTGGGCTGCCCCTACCCGCGGGGCGCCAAGGACGGAGCGGAGCTGCCCCCGCTGCTGCCCCCTCGGAACGGGCAGCCCAAGGGCGGCTGGGGGGAGCCCTGCAAGGAGCCGCGCTGGGCCGAGGCCGTGCTGGCCCCGCTGGCGCTCTACAGCCACTCGTACCACCGCTACCACCCCCTGGCAGTGCCCGGCAAACCCCGCGATGCGGCCGGAGACCCCTCGGCCTCCTTCCAGCACTGCCCTTTCCTCGTGGAGGCCAAGCACAGCCCCTTCCTGCTCTCCTCGCTGCTGCCCGGCGCTCCCCGCGCCGAGCCCGCGTTCGAGGGGCCGGGCCCGGTGGGGAACGGGCGCTTCGCCGGCCCGGAGTGGAGTCTGGGCTCCTACGGGCCCGCCTGGGGCCAGCCCCTCTACATGGGGGTCCCGCCGAGGTGCAAGGCGGCTCTGCCCCCCTTCGACGGCTGCTGCAGCTCAGGGAACAAGGTAGGAACCCTCGGAGGGGTGACAGCGGCTCCAGCCTGAGGGTGGTGGGCAGGGGGGTCTCGGTCTCCCGGGGTGACGCCGCGCTGTCCCCGCGGGTGCTGCCGCCCCCGGCTGAGTCACGGCGGCACGGGGGCGGCGGGAGGCAGCGCTGCCAGCCCTGGGCGCGCCCCGTGCCGCCGCCGCTGCGGCTCCCCATTCCTTTCCCACGCCGGGCACCCCAGCAGCCGGCCCCGGGCACCGCGGAGCACCGGGCGGATGCCCAGGCCTGGCAGGGGTGTGGGGAAACTGAGGCACGGGAACGGAATGCTCCGCGTCGCCCCCTCGCAGGGATGTGTGGGTGACACAAGCGGGACGGCGACCCCGATGAGGGTGACACCGCCCCTCTGTTCCCTTCCAGGAGTTTTACGCCAAGAAAGGCGCCGGGTTCCTCGCCTCGAGCAAGAACCACGCGGCGCCGCCGCTGCTGGGCAGGGGCCAAGCGGGGCCGGAGCGGGCCGGGGAGGGGGAGCCGGCGCTGCCGGAGCTGCCGGGAGCCCCGTGGGGGGATGGCAGGGCGGGGGGCAGCTCGGCGGTGCCCCCTCCCCATCCCCATCCCCATCCCCGCACGCCGCCCCCCGGCTCCAGCCGCCCCCTGCTCCTCCTGCAGCCCGGCCCCTGGGTGGGCTCACGGCCGCACGGCGCTGATTTTTCCATGGACACGGGGCCAGGACGACCCTCAGAGCCCAAAGATGCCCCCAAAGAGCCCAATCCCTCGGCGGTGCTGGCGGACGGGCACTACCCCGCGGCTCTGGCCAAACCCGAACCCCCCCCGGGCTGTCTGTGCCCCACCCCGGGCTGCCATGGGCGCCCGGGGGTGCCCAACCCCTTCGAGCCCGCCTCGGGGCGCTTTCCGTGCCCACCCAGCAACCACACCAAGCTGAAGAAGACGTGGCTGACGCGGCACTCGGAGCAGTCGCTGCCCCGCTCCAAAGCCCCGCGGCGGGACGGGGGTCCCGAGCCCCCCGGCGAGGGGAAGCGCTCGGCCAAACGCCCCCACGGCCCCGCCGAGGGTCCCCGCGCCGCCAGCGAGGGCGCGGCGGCGGCCAAAAGGGGCTCCAAGAGCACGGGGGACAGCGAGGAGAGGAGGATGGAGCTGGGGGAGGAAGGTGAGGATGAGCGGGATGCGCAGCGGGGCCGGGAGAGGGCGGGGGCAGCGCCCGATCCCGAGGGAATTTTGCATCCCTGGCACCCGAAACGCGAGCTGGGAACACGTGTGGGCCGTGGAACTGCTGCGCTGGGGCTTTTCCCGGGTCTGGCACGGGTGGAAATGTCCCTTTGGGGCAGCGTGGCAGCCTCGGGTGGGATTCGTGTTGGGGCTTTTCCCGGGTCTGGCACGGGTGGAAATGTCCCTTTGGGGCAGCGTGGCAGCCTCGGGTGGCACTCCCGGGGCTTGGCAGCGCTGTGGTTGGGGCAGGGACTCCTCGGGGAGGTGTTGGCACCCCGGGCCTGACCTCCGAGCGGCTCCAGCCCTACTTTCCAGCCCTACTTTCTGGCCCAGTTTCCAGCCCCCGCCACAGCGTGCCTGTCACAGGATCCCGGAATCCAGAATTGCTTTGGCTTGGAAGAAACCCTAAAAAAGTCCTAAAAACCCCTCCAGGCCCACCCCCAGGGACACCTCGCACCCTCCCAGGCTGCTCCAAGGTGCCCTTGGGCACTTCCAGTCCCTCCCAGTTGGCTCGGATGGGGCTCCACGGTGTCCCTAAGCCCTTCCCGGTGTCCCCAAGCTCTTCCCGGTGTCCCCAAGCGCTGCTCGGTGTCCCCAAGCCCTTCCCGGTGTCCCTAAGCCCTTCCTGGTGTCCCCACACCCTTCATGGTGTCCCCAAGCCCTTCCTGGTGTCCCCAAGCGCTGCTCGGTGTCCCCAAGCGCTGCTCAGTGTCCCCAAGCCCTTCCTGGTGTCCCCACACCCTTCATGGTGTCCCCAAGCCCTTCCGGGTGTCCCCAAGCCCTTCCTGGTGTCCCCACACCCTTCATGGTGTCCCCAAGCGCTGCTCAGTGTCCCCAAGCCCTTCCTGGTGTCCCCAAGCGCAGTCCGGTGTCCCCAAGCCCTTCCTGGTGTCTCCAAGCGCAGTCCGGTGTCCCCAAGCCCTTCCCGGTGTCCCCAAGCGCTGCTCAGTGTCCCCAAGCCCTTCCCGGTGTCCCCAGGCGCTGCTCGGTGTCCCCAAGCCCTTCCTCGTGTCCCCACACCCTTCATGGTGTCCCCAAGCCCTTTCTGGTGTCCCCAAGCTCTTCCCGGTGTCCCCAAGCGCAGCCCGGTGTCCCCAAGCCCTTCCCGGTGTCCCCAAGCGCAGTCCGGTGTCCCCAAGCCCTTCCTGGTGTCTCCAAGCCCTTCCCGGTGTCCCCAAGCGCTGCTCGGTGTCCCCAAGCCCTTCCCGGTGTCCCCAAGCCCTTGCCGGTGTCCCCAGAGCCGCGGAACCGCCGGTGCCTGCAGAGCCTGCCCTGCACGGCGCTGCCCCCCAGCATCCCCCGCTGCTGGGCCTGCGCCCCCCGCGGCCGGAGGGACCCCCGGGGTGAGGAGGAGGAGGAGGAGGAGGAGGAGGAGGAGCCCCCCGAGAGCAGCTGCAGGCTGCTGCACTTCCGCAGGTGAGCCCGGGGGGATCGCAGGGTTGGGGGGGTCCAGCAGGACGTGTCAGGGGGCGGTGGAGCAGCTCCTTGTTTGGAATGTCCCTTTTGTCACCCTGCTTTGGAATGTCACCTTCTGTCACCCCGGTTCAGAGTGTTTCCTTGTCACCCTTTCCAGTGTCACCCAACTGTTAGAGCATCCCCTCCTGAAGGGGCATCCCTTACTGTCACCCTTTTTGGGACACACTCTCTGTCACCCAACTTTGGGACATCCTTTCCTGTCACCCCTCTTTGGGGACATCCTCTCTGTCACCCTGCTTCACAAAACCTTCTCCTGTCACCCCTCTTTGGGACATCCCCTCTGTCACCCCCCTTTGGAGCATCCTCTTCTGTCACCCAACTTTGGGACACCCACTATGTCACCCTGCTTCACAAAACCTCCTCCTGTCACCCCTCTTTGCTCCTATCACCTCTCTTTGGGACATCCCTTCCTGTCACCCCTCTTTGGGACATCCTCTCCTGTCACTCCATTTTGGGACATCCTCTGTGTCACCCCACTTTGGGACACACTCTATGTCACCCTGCTTCACAAAACCTTCTCCTGTCACCCCTCTTCGGGACATCCCCTCTGTCACCCTTCTTTGGGACACGCTCTCTGTCACCCCAGTTTGGGACATCCTGTCTGTCACCCTGCTTCACAACAGTCTCTCTGTCACCCTATTTTGGGGCATCCTGTCTGTCACCCCTCTTTGGGACATCCTCTACTGTCACCGTGCTTCACAAAACCCTCTCTCTGTCACCCCACTTTGGAGCATGCTCTCCTGTCACCCAACTTTGGGACATCCTCTCCTGTCACTCCATTTTGGGACATCCTGTCTGTCACCCCTCTTTGGGACATCCTCTGTGTCACCCCTCTTTGGAGCATCCTCTCCTGTCACCTCACTTTGAGACACCCACTATGTCACCCTGCTTCACAAAACCCTCTCCTGTCACCCCTCTTTGCTCCTGTCACCCAACTTTGGGACATCCTCTCCTGTCACTCCATTTTGGGACATCCTTTCCTGTCACCCCTCTTTGGGACACTCTCTCTGTCACCCCGTTTTAGAGCATCCCCTCCTCTCCCCCACTTTCCAGCCTCCTCTCCCTGTCCCCCCCTTTTCCCTCTCCCACCACCCCAAATTTCCCCCTCTGTTCTCCTCCCCCCATTCTGAGCCCCCCCAGCTCTGTCCCCTCTCCCCGCAGGTTCACCCTTGGGGACAACGGCGAGCTGAGCGTCGATGGCCTCTGCAGCCTGGGGGACACCCAGGGGGACGTGGCCGACCCCGATTGGGGTGTCAGGGATGTGGGGGGCAGGAATTTGGGGAGCAGGAGCGTGGGGAGCAGCGTCTGCCTGGCCAAGCACCTGCTGGGGGTCCTGGGGGACCCGTTCTGTGCCGCCGTCCGCGGGGACAGGGACGCGTGGCCGGGAGGGCCCGAGGGTGAGCGGGGACATGGGGACACGGGGAGGGTGGCACTGGGGACACGGGGACACGGGGAGCGAGCTGGCACTGGGGACATAGAGACACGGGGAAGGTGGCACTGGGGACACGGGGAGCAGGAGGGCACTGGGGACACAGGGACACAGGGAGCAGGCTGAGGGTGGCACTGGGGACATGGGGAGGGTGGCACTGGGGACACGGGGAGCAGGGTGAGGGTGGCACTGGGGACACGGGGAGCAGGCTGAGGGTGGCACTGGGGGTATGGGGAGGGTGACACTGGGGACACAGGGAGCAGGCTGAGGGTGGCACTGGGGACACGGGACACGGGGAGCGGGGTGGCACTGGGGACATAGAGACACGTGGAGGGTGGCACTGGGGACATGGGGACACGAGGAGCAGGGTGGCACTGGGGACATGGGGACATGGGGAGCAGGGTGACACTGGGGACATGGGGACACGGGGAGCAGGGTGGCACTGGGGACACGGGGAGCAGGGAGGGGGTGGCACTTGGGACACGGGGAGCAGGGTGACACTGGGGACATGGGGAGCAGAGTGGGGTAGACACTGGGGACATGGGGAGCAGGAAGGAGGTGGCACTGGGGACACGGGGAGCAGGGTGAGGGTGGCACTGGGGACACGGGGAGCAGGGTGACACTGGGGACACGGGGACACGGGGAGCAGGCTGGGGGTGGCACTGAGGACACGGGGAGCAGAATGGGGGTGACACTGGGGACACGGGGAGCAGGAGGGCACTGGGGACACGGGGAGCAGGGTGAGGGTGGCACTGGGGACACGGGGACCCTGAGGCCGTGTTTCCCGCAGGGGTGCCGCGCTGGAGGCGGGCGGAAGGAGCCCCCCAGCTCTGTGACCGCTGCCAGCGCGGCTTCTTCAACTCGCACTGGAGCTGCGCCAGATGTGGCTTCCAGCTGTGCCCCGAGTGCCACCGCAGCAGGCGGGAGGAGAGCGGCGCCGGTACGGGGACGGGGCGGAGTGGGAAAGGGGGTGACAGCCCGGGGGGGCTCGGTGGGGGCAAACAAAGCCTCTCTCTGCCACAGAGGATCCGGCGCTGCCACCCGAGTGCGCCCCCGGGCGGGACCACCGCGTGTCGTCGCTGGTCCCCACGCAGTTCCTCCCCACATGTGGTGAGTGTGGCCCCCAAAAACCCCCCAAAAAAACCCCAAAACCCCAGAAACTCCAAAACCCCCCAAAACTCCAAAAACCCCCAAAACCCCCAAAACCCCTAAAACCCTCAAAAACCCCCAAAACCGCCAAAACGCCAAAAACCCCCAAAACCCCAAAAACCCTAAAAAAACCCCAAAAACTCCAAAACCCCCAAAACGCCCCAAAAAACCTCAAACGCACCAAAACCACCAAAACCCCCCAACCCCCAAAACCCCCCCAAAAACCCCAAAACCCCCAAAACCCCCAAAAAACCCCAAACCCACCAAAACCACCAAAACCCCCCAACCCCCAAAAAACCCCAAAACCCCTCTGCTGGGGATTTGACCCCGCTGTCCCCATCCTCTTCCAGTCCTGACCCGGCTCTGGAAGCTCCTCCACGAGGTCCGGGCCAAGTTCGGCATCGAGTCCCGCTGTCCGTGCGGGGAGGGGGCGGCGGAACAGAGCCTGGAGCAGCCCCCGGGCAGGCAGGTATGGAGGGGGGGCTCTGGATGATGGGAAATGGGGTTCAAGGGGTTCGGGGGGTGCCCCCCAGCCCCGCACAGGATGCCCACGGCCCCCGGGTGTTCCAGGAGCCGCCGGTGCCCGCCGTGCCCGCCCGCAGCAGCCCCGAGCCCGCCCGGAATATCAAGGAAGGTAGGGCCGGCTGCGACCCCCCCGCGCTCCGGGGGGGTCAGGGATGAGCGCCCCGTCCGTTTTTGGGGTGCCGGGGATGGGGGGGATGCGGAAGGCGGCGTGGGACGCCCTGACCGCGCTGTGCCCCGAGCAGAGAGCGCCGAGGAGGGGGCGCCGCCCGCGGGGCGGGGGGGGCCCGTGCAGAGCGCGACCCTGTGCGACCTGCTGGCATCCACGGCCGTGAAGCTGTGCCTGGGGCACGACGGCGTGCGCATGGCATTCGCTCCCGTGGCACCGGCGCTGCCCAGCGTGAGTCCCGCGGCCCCCGGGCACCCCCGTGCCCCGATGCCCACCCCGCATCCTGCTGCCCACTCCCCGCCTTCTTGCCCACCCCGTGCCTCGCTCCCCACTCTGTGCCCAGCTGCCCACCCTGCGCCCTCCTGCCCACCCTGTGCCCCGCTGCCCACCCCCTCTCTGCCCACCCCGCGCCCTGCTGCCCACCCCTGCCCCGCTGCCCACCCCGCTCTGCTGCCCACCCTGTGCCCCTCTGCCCATCCCGTGCCCCTCTGCCCACCCCTTCCATGCTCCCCACCCCGTGCCCTATTGCCCACCCTGTGCCCCGTTCTCCACCCTGTGCCCTCCTGCCCACCCCTGCCCCCCTGCCCACCCCTGTGCTCCTCCACCCATTCTGTGCCCCCCTCCCAACCCGTGCCCCTCTACCCACCCTGTGCCCCGCTGCCCACCCCACCCTGCTGCCCACTCTGTGCCCCTCTACCCACCCTGTGCCCCACTGCCCACCCCGTGCCCTCCTGCCCATCCTTTGCCCCTCTGCCCACCCCGTATCCTCCTGCCCACCCCGTGCCCCGCTGCCAACCCCTGTGCCCTGAGGGGGTCCCCAATTTTGTCCCCGTCCCCCTTTTCCCAGGACAACCGCCTGACGAGCATCCTGGACAGCATCATCGCCCGCGTGGTGGAGAGGAAGCTCCAGGAGCGGCGGGCGGGGCCCGAGCTGAGCCCCCCCGGCCCCCCGGAGCCCCCCGGCTCCCACAGCGTGCTGGGCCCCGGCGGGCTCCTCTGGCTGCACCGGCCCGGCCCCGGCGGCGGCTACGGAGCGTTCCAGGAGCACTGGAGGCACGGCCAGGTCAGCGGGGGACACCCCAGAGCCCCCCGTGAGGGGTGACACCCGGAGACCCCGTCCCTGTTAGTTGGGTGACACCCAGAGCCCCCCGTCCCTGTGTGAAGTGACACCCAGAGCCCCCAGTTCCTGCCTGTGGGGTGACACCCAGAGCCCCCCGTGTGAAGTGACACCCGGAGACCCCATCCCTTCCTGTGTGGTGACACCAGGGAGCCCCCTGTCCCTGTAAATTGGGCGACACCCGGAGCCCTTCATCCTTGAGTGTGGGGTGACACCTGGAGCCCCCCGTCCTTGAGTATGAAGTGACACCCGCAAGACCCCCGTCCCTGCCTGTAGGGTGACACCCTGAGCCCCCCATCCCTGAGGTTGGGTGACACCCAGAGCCCTCTGTCCCTGTGGGTGGGGTGACACCCGGAGCCCCCATCCTTGAATGTGAGGTGACGCCTGGAGCCCCCATCCCTGCCGGTGGGGTGACACTTAGAGGCCCCCATCCTTGAATGTGGGGTGACACCCGCAGCCCCCCATGCCTGCATGAGGGGTGACACACCAAGGCCCCCGTCCCTGTAAGTTGGGAGACACCCCAGAGTCCCCATCCCTATGTGTGGGGTGACACCCCGGAGCCCCCGTCCTTGAGTGTGAGGTGACACTCGGAGGCCCCAGTCCCTGCCTGTGAAGTGACACCTGGAGCCCCCATCCCTTTAAGTTTGGTGACACCCAGAGCCCCTTGTCCCTGTGGGTGGGGTGACACCCCGAGCCCCCCGTTCCTGCGTCCGGGGTGACATCCAGAGCCCCCCGTCCCTGTAATTTGGGTGACACTTGGAGCCCCCTCTGCCTGTGGGGTGACACCCCGGGAGCCCCCCATCCTTGAGTGTGAGGTGACACCCAGAGCCCCCTGTCCCTATGTGTGGGGTGACACCCAGAGCCCCCCATCCCTTCCTGTGGGTGACACCCGGAGCTCCCATCCCTTTAAGTTGGGTGACACCTGGAGCCCCCATCCTTGAGTGTGAAGTGACATCCAGAGCCCTCCGTCCCTGTAAATTGGGTGACACCTGGAGCCCCCCATCCCAGCCTGTGGGGGACACCTGGAGCCCCCTGTCCCTGTAAGCTGGGTGACACTCAGAGCCCCCCATCCCAGCCTGTGGGTGACACCCAGAGCCCCCCATCCCTGTGTTTTGGGTGACACCCAGAGCCCCCCATCCCAGCCTGTGGGTGACACCCAGAGCCCCCCATCCCTGTGTTTTGGGTGACACCCAGAGCCCCCCAGTTCCCCACCGACCCCCGGCTCCCCCCGCAGCCCGTGCTGGTGTCAGGGCTGCAGAAGCGGCTGCAGCCGCGGCTCTGGGCGCCCGAATCCTTCCAGCCCGCGGGGCAGGAGGAGGAGGAGAAGGAGGAGGAGGAGGTGAAGGCCGTGAACCTGCGGGCGCCGCGGAGCCGGGTCCGGATGAGCCGCCGGAGGTTTTGGGATGGATTTGCCGCCAGCGCAGGTGAGGGCACGGGGAGGCTGTGGGGGTGCCCGGGGTGGTTTCGGGGTGAGGTGTGAGGGGAGCCGGGCTCCACCCCTGATGTGGCACCGGGGTCCCTCCACAGCCGAGCGGGAGCGGGGCAGCGGGGACCTGCTGAAGCTGGAGCGTGGCTTTGGGGACACGGAGCTGAGCCGGTGGGTGACAGCACAGGGTGGCATCACCCGATGTGCCCTCCCCACGCCAGCTGGGGTTTGGGAGGGTTCCTGAGTGTCACCCCCCTGTGTCACAGGGCCACCAACCTGCGGGCCAGCCTGCCCCTGCCCGAGTACTGCGGGGCCGGCGGCCGCCTCAACCTGGGCTCCTTCCTGCGGGGCCCGCGGGGCCGGCGGTGGCTGCGGCCGCGACTCTGCGTGGCCTACGGTGAGAGGGGCACCGCGGTTTGGGGGGCTCCGGGGTTTGGGGGGCATCGGGCTTTGCAGGGCACTGGGGCTTTGGGGGACACCGGGATTTGGGGGGCACTGGGTCTATTTGGGGCGTCGGGGCTTTGGGGTCACCGGGGTTTGGGGGGCTCCGGGGTTTGTGGGGCACTGGGGTTTTGTGGGGCACCAGGGCTTTGGGAGGCACTGGGGCTTTGTGGCGCACCGGGGTTTTGGGGGGTACCCGGGCTTTGCAGGGCACTGGGGCTCTGGGGGACACCGGGATTTGGGAGGCACTGGGGCTATTTGGGGCATCTGGGCTTTGGGGACACCGGGGCTTTGGGGGGCTCTGGGGTTTTGGGGGACACTGGGACTTTGGGGTGCAGCCGGGCTTTGGAGAGCACTGGGGTTTTGGGGTGCAGCCAGGCTTTGGAGGGCATCTAGGTGCTGAGGGGAACCAGGGCTTTGGGGGGCACCAGGGTTTGGGGGGACACCATGGCTTTGGGGGACACTGGGGTTTGTGGGACACCGGGGCTTTGGGGGACACTGGGGTTTGTGGGACACCGGGGCTTTGGGGGGCACCAGGGGCTTTGGGAGGAACTCGGCCTTTGAGGGCCACTGGGGCTTTGGGGGGCAGCCAGGTTTTGGGGGTTCCTGGGCTTTAGGGGCTCCAGAGCTTTGGGAGGCACCGGGGCTTTGGGGGCAGGCGGGCTTTGAGGAGCTCTGGGGCTTTTTGGAGCATCGGGGCTTAAGGGGACACCGGAGCTTTGGGGGGCTCCAGGGCTTTGGGTGGTACCCGGGCTTTGGAGGGCACTGGGGTTTGGGGGGCACTGGGCTTTGTGGGGCACCAGCGTTTTGGGGGACACAGGGATTTGGAGGGCAGCCGGGATTTGGGGCGCATTGGGGTGCTGGGGGCCAACCGGGGCTTTGGGGGACACTGGGGTTTGGAGGGCACTCGGGCTTTGTGGGGCACTGGGGCTTTTGGGGACACCAGGCTTTGGGGGTTCCCGGTCTCTGTGGGGCAGCCGGGCTCTCCCCACCGGCTCCAACCCCAAACCCCTTCCAGCTGTGCCCCCTCAGGAGCAGAACGTGGGCACCAAACCCCTGACGGTGGAAGCGGCCGATGCCATCAGCGTCCTGGCACACGCGGTGCCCGCAGCGCGGGGTAGGGGCGGAGTGCGGGACCCCCCATGCCCACCCCTGGCACCCCCTGAGCCCCCTGGAACCCTCCTGAGCCCCTGCGGGACCCCCATGCCCACCCTGCCCCTGGCACACCCTGTGGGTCCCCCCATATCCACCGTTCTCCCTGGCAACCCCTGAGCCCCATGCGAATCCCCTCATGCCCACCCTGGCCCCTGGCACTCCCCTGAGCCCCTTGAGGGTCCCACCCTGGCCCTGGCACCCCCTGTGGGTTCTCCCATGCCCACCCTGCCCTCTGGCACCCCCTTGAACCTGCTGCGCATTCTCCCATGCCCACCCTGCCTCTGGCACCCCCCTGAGGCCCCTGCAGGTCCCCCCATGCCCACCCTGTCCCTGGCACCCCCTGAACCCTCTGCAGGTCTCACCCTGCCCCTGACACCCCCCTGAGCTCCCTGCAGGCCCCACACACCCACCCTGTCCCTGGCACCCCCCTGCAGTCCCCCCATGCCCACCCTGTCCCTGGCACCCCCCTGAGGGTCCCCCCATGCCCACCCTGAGCCCCCTGTGCCCGCAGAGCCGCTGCTGCCCGCCGAGCTGGCCGAGCTGGAGGCGCCGCTGCGGGAGCGGCTTGGGGCGGGCGCGGTGCCCGGTGCCCTGTGGCACATCTTCCGCGCCGAGGATGCCCCGCGGATCCGGGACTTCCTGCGCAAGGTGGGTGCCTGGGAAAACCCAATAAAACCTGATAAAACCCAATAAAACCCGATAAAACATGATAAAACCCGATAAAACCCGATAAAACCCGATAAAACATGATAAAACCCGATAAAACCTGATAAAACATGATAAAACCCGATAAAACTTGATAAAACTTGATAAAACCCGATGAAACCCGATAAAACCCGATAAAACCTGATAAAACCCGATAAAACCTGATAAAACCCGATAAAACCCGATAAAACCTGAGAAAACCCAATAAAACCTGATAAAACCCGATAAAACCCGATAAAACTTGATTGGGCTTATCCTTGAGCGAGGCAGGACTGCCGGGATAGCTCATCCCTCTTGGAGACAGAGAGCTGAATACCCAGTGAGCTCACGGCCGTAGCCACCCTTAGCAAGCTCAGTGATTTCAGCTCTTTAGGGATTCTCAGCTCTTTTAGGATCTCAGCTCTTTGGGGATTCTCAGCTCTCCCAGGATCTCAGCTCTTTGGGGATTCTCAGCTCTTTAGTGATTCTCAGCTCTTTGGTGATTCTCAACTCTTTGGTGATTCTCAGCTCTTTTAGGATCTCAACTCTTTGGTGATTCTCAGCTCTCCCAGGATTTCAGCTCTTTGGGGATTCTCAGCTATCCCAGGATCTCAGCTCTTTAGGGATTCTCAGCTCTCCCAAGATTTCAGCTCTTTGGTGATTCTCAGCTCTCTTAGGATCTCAGCTCTTTGGAGATTCTCAGCTCTTTGGTGATTCTCAGCTCTTTGGTGATTCTCAGCTCTTTAGTGTTTCTCAGCTCTTTGGTGATTCTCATCTCTCTTAGGATCTCAGCTCTTTGGTGATTCTCAGCTTTTTAGTGATTCTCATCTCTCTTAGGATCTCAGCTCTTTGGAGATTCTCAGCTCTTTGGTGATTGTCAGCTTTTTAGTGATTCTCATCTCTCTTAGGATCTCAGCTCTTTGGAGATTCTCAGCTCTTTGGTGATTCTCAGCTTTTTAGTGATTCTCATCTCTCTTAGGATCTCAGCTCTTTGGAGATTCTCAGCTCTTTGGTGATTCTCAGCTCTTTGGTGATTCTCAGCTCTTTTAGGATCTCAGCTCTTTGGAGATTCTCAGCTCTTTGGTGATTCTCAGCTCTTTAGTGATTCTCAGCTCTTTTAGGATCTCAGCTCTTTGGTGATTCTCAGCTCTCTTAGAATTCCAGCTCTTTGCTTGCCAGGGCACCTTTGGCTGAGGCAGAAGCAGATGAGAGAGAGGAGAAGGAGGATCCTGGTGTTCCACAGCGATGGTTTTATTGAGGGGTCTGTGAAGGGTTCCAGCGACAGCTCTTCTTCTGCAGAATGGGCTAAACCAGCCCCTTTTTATAGGGTAAAGGGGATCCAAACTTGTCCAATAGTCAGGGTTAGGGGAAAGTGGCTTGTGGGGTTACAGAGATAAGCTATGGGTCGAGACAGCAGACAGGAGCTCATTTTGCTGTCTCATCCTGACCCAGCAGTTCCTACTGTTCAGTCTCAGCCCTCCACGGAGCTCTGGCCAGCTCCATGGACTCTGCTACAGGTGCCACCATATTGGAATAAGAATCCCAATATCACCAGGTAGATTGTGCCTGGGTTAGTCCGACCCCTGCTGCTGGGCCAAAGGCGGCAGCTGTGATATTTCACCTCAGAGACACTTTTGGCTGGCTGGGTGTTGCAGCTGGGCACTGAACAAGTCCAGGCTTGTAGAAACTCAGTTTACCTCAGGTGGGAAGGCTTCAGGCGATGGTGGAGAGGAAAAGAGAGCGGATTCTGCCGGAGGGGTTATATCCAGAGTTTTATGCCATGGTCACAGAGGTCTGGATCTTAGGTAACAGCTCCAACAGAATCCCGACAGCATGGCCTGATTGACCTTTCAAGCTCTGGGACAGGGGGAGGGGAAGGGACAGCTGAGCACCAACCAGGTGGGAGGAGGAGGGTCCCAGGGGACAAGGGACACATAGACAGGCCAATGACCCCAGGCCTGAGGGGCATCCTTTGAACTTGACCAACCACACGATGGCCTTGCTGGAATGTTGAACCTGATTGACAGAACTCACTCAGCAAGGGGGCGAGGGGGAAGGCAGAGGGGTATTGCCACACCTGGGAAGGGGCTGGGAAGTAAAACAGGAAATTGCAACACACTGCAACACCACCAGCACCCTCCAGCGCCCAGCCCCACTCACCCTGGCACCAGGACACCATGGCCAAGGTGTCTGCCAATACCAGATGGTCTTGGTGCCAAACTCCAGCCCAATCGACACCACCTGGAATAACAAAGCTACTCCCCACACCCCACTAAAGCATTTACCAGTCCCATACAGGCGATAGAAAAGACACCAAAAGATGAAATAATAACGAACAAACTCAGCTAGAAACAGCACAGATCAACCCTCGTACCTTTCGCATCTCGGTCTAGCAAGAAAAACCGAAATGAATTTAAGTTTGGCCATCCCCAAACCCAAGCGAGCTACTTAGGTGGAGCTATTATTGAGCGAACCCAAGTCCTGCTCACCCCACAGGTGGCGCAGGAGCCGGGGCAGGAGGCGGTGGAGCCCCCCGGGTTCCACCTGGAGCCCCCCGGGTTCCACCTGGAGCCCCCCGGGCTGTACCTGGACCCCACCTTGCGGCGGCGGCTGCGGGACGAGTGCGGGGTTTGCGGCTGGAGCCTCCTGCAGCTGCCCGGGGACGCCGTGCTGGTCCCCGCCGGGGCCCCCCACCAGGTGAGCGCCCCCCATTCCCCTCCTTGCACCCCCCATTCCCCTCCTTGCACCCCCCATTCCCCTTCCCCCGAGCCTCCGGGGAAACTGAGGCACGGCAATCACGGGCAGGTGCGGAGCCTGAGCGGCACCATCAGCGTGGAGCAGCGATTCCTGTCCCCGGAGAGCGCCGTGCGCCTCCGCAACCTCGGCACCGGGACCCCGCGGAGCCTCCGCGCCCAGGTGAGGGCTCGGGAGGGGAATTTGGGGGTGCGGGGTGTGGGGTGAGCGGGGCTGAGCCCCCTCTTTGTGCCCCTGCAGCTGGATGGGATGATCATCGCGGCCGTGCGGGAGGCGCTGGGGGTGCTGCGGGGCTGCCAGTGAGGGCTCGGAGCGACCGGAGGGCACCGGGAGCCTCGGGAACAACCGGGACACCTCCGGGAGCCTCGGGCATGGCTGGGACACCGGGAACATTGGGAACAACCGGGACACCGGGAGCCTCAGGAGTGGCCGGGACACCGGGAACAACCGGGACACCGGGAGCCTCGGGAACAACTGGGGCACCTCCGGGAGCCTTGGGAATGGCCGGGACACCGGGAGCCTCGGGAACAACCGGGACACCGGGAGCCTTGGGCACAACCACGGCCGGGAGCCTCGGGCACGGTCACAACCATGGCCTGGACACCGGGCACCATCGCAGCCGGGATACCGGGAGCTTTCTGCTCGGTGCTTTGCTGCCAGAGCTGCCCGGGGATCTCGGGGCAGGAGGAATAAAGTGTCCGGAGCGTGCCAGGGCTGCTGGCAGCACCAGCAGCACCTCGGTGTGTCCCTTTGTGCCCCTCCTGCGGTGCCATCGCGGGCAGGGGCCTCTGGTGGCACCAGCAGCGCCCGCCTGGGTGTGTGCCTTTGTCACTGCCGGGTCCAGGGGGCTCTGCCTTCACCCCCCTCCTTCCCACCAGGGTCAGGGGTGCTCTCCCCACATCCCACTGGGGTCAGGGCTGCTCTCTGTTCATCCTCCTCATCCCATTGGGGTCAGGGCTGCTCTCCCTTCATCCTATTGGGGTCAGGGATGCTCTCCCTCCATCCCCCCTCCATCCCACCAGGGTCAGGGGTGCTCTCCCCACATCCCATTGGGGTCAGGGCTGCTCTCCCTTCATTCCCTTTTCATCCCATTGGGATCAGGGCTGCTCCAGTGGCACCACCAACATCTGGCTGAGGGTCTCCTTTCACCCATCCACCGTTTCACCGGGGTCAGGGCTGCTCTCCCTACATCCCATTGGGGTCAGGGGTGCTCTCTGTTCATCCTCCTCATCCCATTGGGGTCAGGGCTGCTTTCCCTTCATCCTATTGGGGTCAGGGGTGCTCTTCCTTCAATCCCCTCCATCCCATTGGGGTCAGGGATGCTCTCTGTTCATCCTCCTCCATCTCGTTGGGGTCAGACCTGCTCTCCCTCCATCCCATTGGGGTCAGGGCTGCTCTCCCTTCATTCCCTTTTCATCCCATTGGGGTCAGGAGTGCTCCAGTGGCACCACCAGCATCTGGCTCAGGGTCTCCCTTCGCACACCCTCCACCTCATTGGGGTCAGAGCTGCTCTCCCTCCATCCCTTTGGGGTCAGGGATGCTCTCTGTTCATCCTCCTCATCCTATTGGGGTCAGGGCTGCTCTCCCTTCATCCTATTGGGGTCAGGGGTGCTCTTCCTTCAATCCCCTCCATCCCAGTGGGGTCAGGGCTGCTCTCCCTCCATCCCCCTCCATCTCGCTGGGGTCAGGGCTGGTCTCCCTTCACTCCCTTTTCATCCCATTGGAACTAGAGCTGCTCTCCCCCCATCCCATTGGGGTCAGGGATGCTCTGGTTTCCCGGGATAGGGGAGGTGGCAGAGCTGGGGCTGGCAGAGGGCACCGCTGCCGTGAGTGTCACACACAGCTGGGAACAGCTGGATGGTCCCCCAGAGGCTGAGGGACCCAGGGTGCTGCTCCGTCCTGTCCGATGGAGGAAAACGACTGAACACCGCCGGGCAATTAGCACGGGGCAATTAATTAACACCGGGAAACGGGCACGGGACAATTAATTAACACCGGGCAATGGGCACGAGGTAATTAATTAACATCGGGCATTGGGCACTGGGACAATTAATTAACACCAGGCAATGAGCACTGGACAAAGGGCACTGGGCCACGAACAAGAGGCGACGGGCACCAAGCGATGACCCTCACGGAATCACCACCGCCTAATTAACCCCGCCTAATTAACTCTGCGCCACGCTCCCATGCGGCCCCTTTAAGTCCAGGTCCCGCCCGATCTGAGTGGCAGCCGCACCAACCAATGAGCGGCGAGCTGCTCCGCCGCGCTGCCCAATAGGCTGCGAGCAGGGGGGCGGTGCCGGCGCGGCGGAGCCCCGGCGCGGTGAGTGCGCGGCGCATGCGCGGTGCGGGGGGGGGGCGGGGGGTCCCGGAGCCCGCCCGCGACCCCCGGAGCCGCCGCTGCCCCCCCCGAGCTCCGGCGCGGCCCCCCCGGGCTCACCGGGGCTCCCCGATCCTTCCCGCACCCTCCCGGCACCATCCCGTCCTTCCCGCATCCTCCCGATGCCGCTCGCAGCCCCCCGCCCGCCCCTTCCCGCAGCCCCCCGACTCCTCCTGCATCCCGCCCATCCTTGGGGCAACCCCCCGAGCCTTGCTGCGCCCCCCGAGCCTTGCTGGAAGCGCCTCCAAACCGTGCCCGCATTGCAGAGCCCCGAATCTTCATTGCAGCCTCCTTAAAGCGCCCCAAACCTTTATTGAACCCCCAAACCCATTCCCTCCCTGCACCCTGCAGCCCCCCAAACCCTTCCTTTACTGCAGCCCCCCAAACCTTTGCTACAGCCCCCCAAACCCTTCCTGCACTCTGCAGCCCCCCAAGCCCTCCTCTTTCTGCACCCCCCAAATCTTCCCTTTACTGCACCCCCCCAAACCTTTATTGAACCCCCCCAACCCATTCCCTTCCTGCACCCTGCAGCCCCCCAAACCCTCACTGAGGGCCCCCAAACCCTCCCTTAATTGCATCCAATAGCCCCCCCCAAATCCTCTCCTGTAGCCCCCCAAACGCTTCATTTGCTGCAGCCCCCAAATCCTCATTGCAGCCCCCCTACCCATTTGCTTCCTGCACCCTGTAGCCCCCCCAAACCCTTCTTTGTGGCCCCCCCAACCCTTCCTTAATTGCACCCTGTAGCCCCCCCAAACCCTTCCTTTACTGCAGCCCCCAAATCCACATTGCAGCCCCCCCAAACCCTTCCTTGCAGCCTCCCAAACCCTCCCTTAATTGCACCCAATAGCACCCCCAAATCCTCTCCTGTAGCCCCCCCCAAACCCTCCCTTAACTGCACCCTGTAGCCCCCCCAAATCCTCTCTTGTAACCCCCCAAAACCCTTCCTTTACTGCAGCCCCCAAACCTTCATTGCAGCTCCCCCAAATCCTCTCCTGCAGCCCCCCAAACTCTCCCTTAATTGCACCCTGTAGCCCCCCCAAATATTTCCTTGTAGCCCCCCAAACCCTCCCTTAACTGCACCCTGTATCCCCCCAAATCCTCTCCCGCAGCCCCCCCCAAATATTTCCTCATAGCCCCCCAAACCCTTCCTTCGCTGCAGCCCCCAAATCCTCATTGCAGCCCCCCAAACCCTTCCTTGTAGCCCACCAAACTCTCCCTTAATTGCACCCTGTAACCCCCCCCAAATATTTCCTCATAGCCCCCCAATTCTTTCCTTTGCTGCAGCCCCCAAATCCTCATTGCAGCCCCCCCAAACCCCCGGCCCTGGTGCGCCCCCAGCCCCCCGTGCACGCTGCAGCCCAGCTCGCCCCCGTGCCCCCCCCAGCTCGCCCTGCAGCCCCTCCCCCCCTGGGACCCCCGGGACCCCCCCAGCTCCAGCTCCAGCTCCAGCCCCCCCGGCACCCCCCAGCCCAGCGAGCTCTTCTACCCCAGCGCGGGCATCGCCCAGTCCAGCCGCCCGTACCCTCCCAGTGCCGCCCAGTCCGGCCAGACCTTCCCCACCAGTATCCTCCAGTCCAGCCATCCCATTCCTCCCAGTACGCCCCAGTCTGGGCTCCCCTTTTCCCGCTACCTCTTCCAGTCCAGCCAACCCTTCCCTCCCAGTATATTCCAATCTAGCCAGCCTTTCCCTCCCAGTTTCCTCCAATCCAGCCAACCCTTCCCTCCCAGTATATTCCAGTCCAGCCAGCCTTTCCCTCCCAGTAACCACCAGTCCAGCCAGCCTTTCCCTCCCAGTATCTTCCAGTCCAGCCAGCCTTTCCCTCCCAGTTTCCTCCAGTCCAGCCAGCCTTTCCCTCCCAGTATCTTCCAGTCCAGCCAGCCTTTCCCTCCCAGTTTCCTCCAGTCCAGCCAGCCTTTCCCTCCCAGTATATTCCAGTCCAGCCAGCCTTTCCCTCCCAGTATATTCCAGCCCGGCCAGCCTTTCCCTCCCAGTAACCACCAGTCCAGCTACCCCTTTCCCCCCAGTATCCTCCAGTCCGGCCACCCCTTTCCCCCCAGCATCCTCCAGTCCAGCCAGCCCTTCACGTCCTTCCTCTTCCCGTGCATCCTGCAGTCCAGCCAGCCCTTCTCGTACCGCAGCCCCCCGCGGCTCCCCAAATCCTGCCAGCTCTTCCCGTGCCCCCCGGCCCAGCCCAGCCAGCCCTTCCCGAGCCGCGCCCCCCCGGGGATCCCCCAGTCCGGCCAGCCCCTGTCCTACCGCAGCCCCCCGCGCCTGCCCCCCAAAGCCCTCCCCGCTTACCCCCAGTCCAGCCGCCCCCTCCCCATTTACGCCCCCCTGCCCATCCCCCAGTCCAGCCGACCCTTCCCCCCCTCCCCCCAATCTCCGGAGCCCCTCTCGGTGTCCCCCCTGGGCCTGCACCTCTGGGGGGTCCCCTCGCCCCCCCAGGAGCCCGCCCCGCCCTGAGCGGCCCCGCCCCGCCCGCAGGGACCCCCGCCCCGATGGGGGACGCGCCGGTGCCGGAGCTGGAGGCGGTGCTGGATGGAGGCGCCTGGGATGTGGGGGAGACGCTCGGGGGGACCCCCGCGCCCGTCCGCCTGGGCAGGAACGTGTGCTACGTGGTGCTGGCCGTGCTCTTCAACCAGGAGGTGAGGCAGCCCCGCTCCCAGTGCTCCCAGTCCATTCCCCCAGTGCCCCCAGTGCAGCCAGGCCATCCTCCCAGTGCCCCCAGTTCAGCCAGGACATCCCCCAGTGCTCCCAGTGCAGCCAGGACATCCCTCCCAGTGCTCCCAGTGCCCCCAGTCCATTCCCCCAGTGCTCCCAGTGCAGCCAGGACATCCTCCCAGTGCAGCCAGAACATTCCCCCAGTGCCCCCCAATGCTCCCAGTGCCCCCCAGGCCATCCCCCCAGTGCCCACAGTGCAGCCAGAATGTCTCCCAGTGCCCCCCAGTCCAGCCTGGCCATTCCTCAGTGCCCCCAGTCCATTCCCCCA